ACCGACCAGGAGTCCACTGAGCCTTGGACTTCTCCATCCGCCGCGCAGCTGAACTTCCAGACTATGACTCCCAGTATTCCTGAGATCTTAAGCCCGCCTCTCTCACCTCCCGGTGTACAGCGTGGCCCCCAACGCAGCATYGCAAAGACSTCTGYTCTCRAGCTCATCACCTCATTTGGTGATCAAACGCAAAAGTCAAAGTTCTTTGCTCGCGACGGCGGCCAGACCCCGATTCCCGCGGATGTTACCCCTATCGCTGACTCTGCCGGCTCTCCCGCTTTCTCTCATGCATCCAACAACGAACCCACGACAGCCTTCCTTCGCCCTTCAAACAATAGCAGATTCAATACCCCAGTCTCTGCCCGGGGACGTGGGCGTTTGCCATCCATTGGTGAGATTCCCTCAGACCTCGACCGAGAGGCACCTCGATCTGCCGAGCTGTCTGCTGTGCCATATGACTATGAGCCTCGATCTGGTCATGCTCGGACACCATCTGGCAATGACAACATGATGATGGGTACCGCATTACAGCGCGCTGCTACTGCATGCCCGATGATGATACGAGAGCACGCTCAACGCGTTGTCCAACCAAGTGAGGGCGACTTTCCACCACCACCTGACCAGGCCACCATGTTGAAGATGCAACAAGCATCACGTAATCACCGCAATGGCTCCCGTGACCGCATTTCTGTGGGCGTGAATCTACAGCTGCATCCTGGGCCCGCTCACGATGTCATCGCATCTCCAGAGCAGTCAGTTACATCTTCTACCCGCTACCACTGGCCAACTCGCCGCAGAGGTCCTGCCTCGGTGTCAAGTTCTGTCACTTCTGCATCAAGTGTTCGACGAAGCTGAGAAAGTTGTATGCATAGTCTGCATGCTGCTAGCCATCACTCCAAGGGGCAGCGCAGCCGCCAATGTGACCAGTCAAGAACTCGCAGTACTCTGTACAGTCGAATTGTAAATCGGCATCAGACCACACGCTGCCAAAAACCTTCTGATAGCATTCCTATGTCTCGACATTTGAACCCCCCCAGCATCATCCACTGATTCGCGTAACAAGCGCTTGACAACAGGCTTGGGCCGAAAAGAGATGATCTAGGAGGTCTCTTGGGATCTTGATGAGCCTGTCATACAGTAGTTCACTCTTTTCTACCAGTCTCTACCAACCTTCTCGTCGTTACAAACCATATTAGCAATAGTATAGCCATTTTTATCGAAGTTAGAATGTTAGATATTGTTTTTATTCCAATTTGAAGTTTCCAACCTTTCTCTTCTTCGAAAGTATGCCAAGTCTTCTGTGGTAGTTCAAAAGTCGGGACATTTTTGCGGCCGAGAATATTGGGCGGTGATGTATTGAATGACGGCGCGTCGTGCCACTGTCTTGAACTTCTTTACAAGGGGTCCTACGAAACCAACGGATACGATTCGCCTCGGTATGTTCCAAGTACCCACATCGCATATCTCATTTTGGCATTCGTTGGTACCTTGCGTTACTTCCAATGGTAAGCCTCCTAGATGTGACATTATAGTGTGTTGTTCTAGTTCCCGAGCCATTGTTGACGGGGAGTAATTGAGCCCGAATTCTCGGATTCACATCCACATTGATTTGGCACTTCAATATCCTCCCTGACCTGGACAATTAGTAGAGAAAATGAAGCACTGGAGTTCTCCAAATCCTGGCTGGCTCCATGGGACCGTTGAAGCCAAACAAGAGATCACCCGGATATGTGGGCATTACTGCGGCCTCAAGCCTTTAGAAAGACGTGGGCATGAGAGATCAAAGCCATGTGCATCGCCATTACCCAGACTCATCGTCTGATAAAGTGCAGGGCGTAATCTGACAAGGTTAGCACATGCCTTCGGATCCCCCTCGGATGGCGATGCAATTTCGCCGATATCCTGGTTCGATGACCACGGTGTCCCTTTTCTTCCACCACTGGTTTCTAGACGTGAAGCGGCTTTGGAATGTTTATTTGCATCTTGAGTCTGTTTTACGTAATTGGGAAAGCCTGGAAGAATAAGCTCTGGATCAAATGAGATGAGGATGACGGGCCTCAATTGTCCAGATGCCATATAAGTTGGTGAATACACCAAGCTTCGATCATCCATAGACCACTCGATTCCTCTGATCGGTTGGATGGGGTTGATAACACCTTGAAGCTGAGCCAAACCTTTATTGCGGTGGCATGCTTGTTGGACTTGTGGCCAAACAATGACTGGTGGCACCTGATTCTTGGGCTGTACTCTGAGTTGTAACGTCGACCCAGAGTTGTAAGCCTCAGAAACGAGATCGATAAAAGTATCGCATGCTGGATTATATGAACGCACAAAGCAATCATCAAGGGTGTAGGCCTTTAAGTCTGTTGGACCGTCGCCAATGTGAGTATTCTCACTTGACCGTTCTTCAACATGAACCTCGCTGCTCCATTCCTCTTCGTCGAGGCTTTCCACAATTGGCCCGAGCGAAGTTGAAAAATCGGACTCTGCGTGAAGACCTTCCTTCTGTTGACCAAACCGAAGCATCTTCTTGTAGCACGTCCTCTGACTGCCTGCGTTTCCTGGAAACCATTCCTTTCGCGTCTCAACGATGAATAGCTCACCTGTTTTCTCGTCTTTACTGAGCTGCAATGAAGTCCAGCGCTCATCTACAGCGCCCTCCGAATCATGGCGACGCCAGAGATTGCGCATCAGAGGTTTCTCGCAATTGCCATGCGATGCATTGTCCACAGGAAACCGCACAACCTGGTAAAAGTTATTTCGTACTCCATGTTCAGCCTCTGTCTTCAACGTGTTGGTAACACAGTAAAATTGGCCATCGATGATTTCGAAGCAGATGTCAGATCCTATGTTTTCCTTGTCAAAGTCCCACAAAATCATCTGGACTTCTTCCCACTTGCGAGTCTGAAGATTGAGGCAACGAAGACTCCATCTATAGCTCCCATCGAGTCCAACATGTGATTTTGAACCCCATATTAGGTAATCTTTGTCGTTGCGCACAAAGGATGGGTATCTTGAATCTGGCCTTTGCACAACAACCCATCTGGGGGATTCTCTTAGCTCGAAGATGAGGAGCCAGCTGCATGTGGTGGAATCTTGGGAAAGTTGCGTTGCGAGGCATGAGAGAACACCTTGAGCATAGTACAGGGGCTCAAAGGTGTGAGATTTTCGAGGGTCGTAGTCTCTTACTGCGGCCATGAGAAGCAGTGTTACATCGACTGTCAACTCAGATGTAGGCTTCTTCTCGAGTGTGTTGAGGACACGGAGATGCTTGCTATTAACAGTGTAGCACAAGTGACCATTTGTATAGATGAAACAATCTGCCATGGCAACTATAGCAACCATCCAAGGCTCCGCTGCTCGGACAGCCATTCGCCGCTTAGCAAGCTTCCGGAACGCCTTCGGGAAGTTGCTTGTTGACTGTGCCTCTCTCGCTTCTGCAGAATACGGTGCTTTCTAAGGTGTCGTCAGCGTCAAGAATTTCATAAATTTGAGTGGTTAAAGCGAGCCTTAAGTGTAATACGGCACATTCGTTCATCCAGGAGGATACCATACAAAGACCGGCAGCTCAACGCCATATTGAACACATCGACGACGTCGAGGAGCTCAACGAGGAGAGATACAATCTCGACAGGCATTCTGGGAAGGCCCATTGCTAGCACTGAATCAAGTTCACGTGTACGTAAAGAAAGTACTTCGGGTAATCAGTCGCCGCGTATCCCTCAACTTCATTGCTGGTTAAATACCCTCCCATCTAGATCAACAGACAGGGGTAGCAGTTGAGCCGCATTCCCCGCTTTTGTGTACAAGGCAGATTACCGGTACGCGACTCGCACCCAGGATACGGTGTGCCTCGTTTTATGCCTTATTACATGTCAAGAATTCCAACGAATGGCTTACCTTACATTGTTCTGGGAGAACTTTGATCCGCTAACGCTAACGCTAAGATCACAGTGTCTTTTCTTTTCTTTTTTTTTTTTTTTTTTTTTTTTTTTTTTTTTTTTTTTCTGACGCCGGCTCGGTATCTTTCACATTTCAATGCCCCATCAATCGCCATAGGCATGCCTAGTCTCAATTCCGAACACTCAACTTCAGGCCTTCAGGAATCTATGTGTTCCAATCACGCCTATTCGAGCTCGGAAGACAACATCACGGAAGATGAGTCTTGTTTTGAAGATCAAGTTAGGGACTCCGCTTTTCATACCGATAAAAGGATTGATGATGCTGTGAACCATATTTTATCTCAAGCCTGGCAGCAGTTCTTAACAGCTGCACAGTCCTCTACGCCACCTGACGAATTCGATCACTTCAAATGCCCCTTCTATGCTTCAAATCCAGAGAGATATTGACGTTGCCTTGCACGTTATGATCTTCGTTCGGTTGAGAGTGTGATCATGCATGTCGAAAAGCGTCACATGAGGCCACCATATTGTCCAAGATGCTCGAAAACCTTTGGAGCGGTGCAAAAATGCGACGCCCATATCCTCAAGGCGGAATGTAAAACTGGGTCTCGAGAGATTCCAGACGGCATCAACTATCACCAGAAAAGCCAACTGAGAGAGAAAACAAAATCCAAAGACTACACTGACCTGCGTCCCGAGAGACGCTGGAAGCACGTATACGGATTAGTCTTTCCTGGATCACAATCCTATCGTTCAGCGACCATGGACACCGAGGTTGAGAAGAGGGTCTTGCAAGCCAGAGCTTTTTGGGAGGCTCACGGTTGGAAATATGTATTAGGATTTTTCCAGACTGGGAATGAATCAAAAATTGAAGGCGCGCAGAAGGTATACAAAGCATGCCTACACTGTCTAGTCGAATGTGTTGTCGATCAGAAGTTGATGTTTGGGAATTGGGCCGAATGCATATCTGGATCTAATTCTTGTTTCTCTCGTTCCCCACGGTTTTCTTCGGAAGACTGATTTCGATTGTGTGGAAGGCAGTATAGGAAGAGAGTGATACTGGAACCTGTTTTCAATTCTTGAGAAAATTGTATATGAGGTATCAAGTTACAGCGAAGTAATAATCAATAGCTAGACTTGTCAATCGAAGATACTAACATTATACGTCAAGAATCTCTCGAGAATACGACCCTTGAGTACTTGTCTGCAACTTTATCGAGAAACATCTTTCTGATCATTCGATGCATGTCGACCACTGCAACCAAGCTGCCAAATGAATAAGCATCACTTTGGTTCCCAGGACTCACAATCCATATATTTCTATGGGCCTCAACCTGAGTACTGATTAACTGCTGACTAATATACCACGAACACCAGCCTAAAGGGAGTATGGCACTGGTAGGCATGATCACAACCTGTGAGTTGTATAACTAAAGAGACCTAAATCTTAGACTGCTATTTCGAAGAAGGATTTGCATTTGATGGTATTAATTTAATTGACTTAGCAACCTTAAATGAATCCAAGCCTAGCCAAGTGTCTCCAAAACTTGAATAGGAAGTAGCGCCTTCCCCTCAATGCGCGTCCAAGGGTGGTGTTGAAGGAGCTAAACGCGGCGTGTCAAAACGAATGGTCTTTGTACCACAACCACTACGTCTCCAGAATCGTTCATTCTGTTTACAGATTCGAGGGGTGCAGCAATTTCGTGAATACAAAGCGCATTGTTAGTGCTGCCAACTAGCTTCTGAAGCCAGAGCAACTGTATCCAGTCAATATACAGATTCATGATGTACCAAAGTAAATTCTGACTTATGGTTCGTGCAGTGTCCTTTCCTTCGTAGTTCTTCAGTTCTGAAGAACTTGCAACACAATACCACTAATGGCCCTGTGTCCAAATTCAGGGCAAGGCACCTGGTTCTACAAGCGCCGTATTGGCAATCTTGCTAGGAGAGCTCAGACTACCTAGTTGGCAACGTCTGGGCTGAGACGTAATGGCAGTGGCGGAGAAGGCACGAGGCAGGCGACCTGGAATTACCATATTTTGAAGTCGAGAAGGCGATTGGGGCCTGATCTTCCGATAGAGCTTTCGAGCAGGCGCTAATGTCGTTCCACGTTCCAGACGGACTCATCCTCGTTCTGTTTAAGTATGTTAGGGCATGACCAGCCTCAGAAGCTGATAGGTGACTTCCAGAATTCTGGGGAGGAAAGAAAGCAGTGGCCTCATCAAGGAAATACGCCTTGGTGATGCCCGATAGCGTTCTTGTCGATGGTCGGCGAGAAGATATCTTGACCTTGTTGTGAATAAGTAAGAAGACCAAGGCGTCCCTAATTAGCTTCGGAAGTTGAAGGTCCAAGGGGCTTGCGAAATGTCGGATTTTAACCCCTTCATATGCTATCTGGAGATCGGACAATTTTTGGCGCGATGAAGAGGCCCTAGATGATGATGAAGCTTGGGAGGAATTGACAGACCTCTTCGACGGCGAGCCCGAGGGCACGGGAGATGTCATATTTCGCAGGGGAAGATTAGGTGCTCTTGGAGTAATACCAACATCACTGAACCAGTCGTCTTCGGTAGCGTTATCTGTCTTTCGCCTTTTTGGAGTGGAGGAATTCATGTCGTCGGACTTGGGGCTGAGGTCAGGCACAATTGTCGACGCTTCACACAAATACTGACCATCGATGACCTTCTGCTGACGCTCGAAGGATCCAAAAAAGCCGACATTATCGGAATCTTGAATCTCCTAGAAGACGTACAAGAAAACGCTGGCAAAAACGATTAGCTACGCCGGCAGCGATGAGACGCCCGCAAAGCCCAAGCTCCTACGCGACCGAGACTCGATCCACGAACGTGCGTGCTTTTTTCCGACACTTCCCACTGTCATAATTGTCCAACAGCGAACAAGTTTTGACCGCTATTTGATGAAAACATCCGATGTTGCACAAGTCTGCGCAGCTGCCATACATCCGCTGTGCCAATTCCAGCACCTCATACGACAGACACCTTGCACAAAGCCGCATATCATTTTCTTGTGATCTCTTTCGCATTCCTCGATTACCCGTTGCTCTATCCACCTCGAGACGAAAAGCGACACCATTGGTGATTCTCCGAAGAAAAACATGTGCTTCCGCGCCAACAATGAGTGACGACATCTAGTTGGATGCCTCTGCATAGCTATATTCCATCGCAATTAACCTTGGCGTCGTAAAGTCTGATCATCTACCCAGCGTCAAGGCCGATGCCCCGTTTGCGCAAGATATTTTGGTTGCCAAACCCACCGGCCTAGCCAACCAGCACGTTTCTTGACCGAAATCTTGCACTATGCGTCTGTTCCTGGCCGTTTACAATCTCCCTGCAGTCTTGAGCATCATCCTAAGGTCGCATACGAGCCACCTCAATCACGCAGCCGTCGATACCCCAACACCCTTTGCCGCGTCGTTCTCAGGGCTACGGTCGATGTCCCTTCGCAACCAAGACTCCACAAATAGGACCGCCTCGGACTATGGCTCGCTACGTATACCTCGTCACCTCACTTAGCAATATTCTCAATACGTCACCCTTTCCTTAGCGAAGCAAACCTCTCACGCCATTGCGACTACTTGGAGTAATGAGGACGGAGGTGGGGGATCAATACTGTGGCTACAAAGCACCGATCAAGCTGGATGGAATATTCCAGTGTATGTACGTTCTCGGCAGCGGCCTCATTTCGCCGATGGCTTGACACTGCAGTTTGATCTCGCAGCTGTCGAATGGCTGTTGCCGGTCGTCAACATAGTCTACTTGTGCTGAATACTCATTATGATCCAGCTGCGCCCCAATGTTAAGCAGCACCGGGACAGTCCACTCTTGTTGTCGGGAGCGCACGTAAGATTGTTACTGATCACCGACCTCACCGCAAACTAGTAGGAATCATCGACTTGGCTATCACCTCAGGCATCTACTATCGTCTACAAACTCTCGACGACAAGTGCGTCGTCAAGTGCGTGGGTACATGAGCAGCTAGTTTGAGGTAGGCGCATTCTCTTAAGCACACGACCGCCCCATAGATAACGGCTGCATAAGCCTTCTACCACTCTCGCTAGAGATTTGTCCTGACGAATATGAGCTGGGAAGGCAGAAGCAGTCTAGATCTGCAGCACAGCATTTGTAGGTGTAAAGTCTCGTCAGCTGAGAAAAATGAGAAGGGAAAGAGGACCCTTCGCAGAGTTTCGTATCTGGCAACCGTGATGAAGGCTATGAACGCATTGATGCTGCCGAGAGATGCAGTGGCCGTATCGGCAACAAGACGCGCAGTTCTTTTGGCAGTCGGACAACCCAAGAGGCCAATTCCAGCAACAGCCCCTCTTTGCAGACTGCTTCGGCCCTGCGGCTATCGCTAGGGATATGATTATCGCGAGTCGAAATGCAAGCTCTGAATCTCTCGAAACGTAAGCTCCCAAGGCTAAGTGACCGGAGACTCGAGAATTGGAAACTCGCAGCCGTTGGTAGATTCTCAAGACCAGTCGTCGCCCATGCCACGCACTCCACGGCCAGCTTTTGGTGATCGTACTCCCGAGGCTTACGGAAAATCACCTAGTGTTGGCGGTACTCCCGAGTTTTCACAAAGCATGCAAGAGATGAGATTGTCAATCAGCTCTCCGGTACGGCCTAGAGAGCTGACTCAAACCACCACCAAGGAGAGCATTGAGATAAAGATCAAGCTATTGCTGCTTGTACCGCAACAGACTTTGATGACCAAAACCCCTACCCTGCAAAGTACGTTACTGGACCTCACTACTGGTCGACGAAATCGACCTCCTCGAGTCGGGAGAATCCCCAGAACGGTAAGCAATCGTACTGAACATGTGTCTCCCATGGGCATTTCTAGGCCTTACAGAGCTAGCATGTAATTGGGAAAAGAAAACGTTGAGTGCCATGATTCTGAATTAATTGTCAAAGATCCCCTACTTTCTAGGACTTCGAGCCTTGCTCCTGATCTGACTACCAATGGTTCAATAGCACCAAGCACCAACAATCTCTCATCAAGAGACTTCAACTCTCATGCTTTGGGCCGAGTTGAAAAGGAGTTCTTAGCATTTCCCCGTCACAAGGACTCCGAGGGAACTACCGATACATCTAGATAGCTCGAGCTGCTCCGGTATTCTTGCTCTTTGCCTCTACATACGATGATCTCTGTAGAGACGATTCGCTAGCTTCTCCACAAGGTACACTATTGCATCTTGAGACGTACTAATCGAAGCTGGTTAGCAAGGAGAAGCCCCTAAAGTTGCCTAATATTGTCTTCGATGAGAAGACAATCCGGCAGTCTAAAACAACACCTATCTCCAGCACTTGCAGCGCCGACATGACTAAACGTCCAATCCAATCCAAGCCCCCCTTCCTCAGCCTCCAAATTTGTTTCGGGTTATGAAGACCGCAACCCAGCCGGTGAAGCACCTACAATTGTTGAAGTATCTCGACGACAGTCGACCTTCACGCGAGACGAAACTATCTGACGCCAGCTCCTCTTCGAAAGACGGGTCCGCTCGCACAGGCCTGCCTCAGGGTCAACTCAATAATGGGGAGTAGGTGACTTGCCTTCAAGGATATCCTCTTTAGTTATGTTCTCCACAGGCTGGTTCCCATTGGAGGATCACTGACCAGACACTCAATCCTCGTGATCAATGCCCTTGACAACGATGAGTGGTCATTCTACGCTGCCGGAACATATCCAGCAGCTACCTTCTTCAATCCGTCTCCCCGCTTTCCTCTTCCAGAAGAACTCGAGAGTTCATCTTCGAGATTCCCTCTCGGCCTTCTAAACCACCAGATTCAATACAGCTCTACAACTTCACCTTCGGCGCTCAAAGCTTCACAGCTGTTGTATACCACTTCCTCGTCGCGAGCCCTGGAGCATACTATCGCAGCATTCTCACCGAAGCTGGCCGTGTGCTGAAGTCAGGAGGCTACATCAAGCTCTCCATTCTCGACAAAGACCTGAACAACATGGGCAACCAGGGCCAACGTACGGTCTGCCACCTAAAAGGGAGGATCCAAGAGATGACATCTGATACTAGTCTCGGATCAAACGCGGATCTCATTATTCGTCTCCTTGGCAAGGTTGGTTTCACTACCATTAAGGCAGTACGAGTGGGTGTTCCCGTGGCAAGTTCCGTCATTGGCAAAGATAGCAAGGCTGATGACGGCAATGACGCTGCTGAGAAGGAGAAGGATCCGCCAAGTTTATCTGAGATGATGAGCGACAACAGCCCCTTGATGGACGATAATATCACCAAGATCGTCAGCGGCGTTGGCCGATGGTGGTACACACGATGCTACGAGAACGTAGCTGGGAACCCCTCTGGAAAGAGCATCCGGAGCGATAAGCTATCACTTCGGAATGGAGAGCTCGGTACAAGCCTAAAGCTCATGCTCTGCAGCGCTCGAGCTCCTCTTGAGCGCATCACAGGTGTTTAAGCACATAATACTGCACATTCTCTTCTCTTTCTACTCTACTTTTCATCATCAGTCGCAAAATTGCGAAAGCTACACAATTTTAGTTAGAAACCATCGCAAAAGATACCTTGCGGTGCAAGCCCATTTGCGCAAAAGACGCTATACCACAAGATTGAACCACGGAACACTCTTTTGGTTTACTGAGAAAGACACAAGCCAGCTTAGGCCACGCACTGATTGCACTCTCATTTCAAGCTGCGATTTTCTTGTTAGCTTCTTGATCCAAGGGAAGTACTGAACATTGCGTTTTGCAGATTTTGGAAATTGAGTACGAAAGATGGAGGAAAAAGAGGGACTGGATGATGACGACATGTCGATAATCAAATGCGGAGAGAAAATATGACTTGGTTTTTGAGCTTGCCGCGAATAGATACCCATTTACGCTTTGGAGAGCTTGTGCGAGATAGCAAGTGGCACTATTATCATCGTAGTTTGACCACATCCTTTACTTCGTCTGGTATTTATCTATACATGTCGGAACTATAGGTAAAAGACATTCTTCCACGCAGATTGTGACATACAAAGTTTATAGACTGTAGGTCATTAGTTTTCGTTTGCAACTAAAAGCTCGGTTTCCGTAACGCAGTGAGCGTGGATGACGAGGAGTAGACGATATGCCTCGGGTATACTTTACTTTATTCTGCTTATATAAAATCAAAGATAAGTTCAAAGTAATAGTAAGGTTGAATTAGAAATTCAAAGGAATCAATTAACTTTTGTATAAGTTAATCACTAAAAGTGAAAAATTGATCTGTCATAACCCTATTATTCCATGGAGGAGATTCTGTATCTGCCGATCGTAGACTGATCTCTCCATCCATCTGGTCCATCCCATACGGCACCTTTAACCCAGTCATAGTAACGTGCAGCGCGGGAGAATTTGTTTTGAGCTGGCGAGTTTATTAGGAGAGTTTTGTTCCGTCTCAACAGTTGCATATCTCAGTTATAACAGCAGATGTCTCGTTACATCAATTGTTGTTAGTCAGTGCATCAAAGATTCCTTTCGTATCAGACAAAAGCTCATCTGTGAATCATTACTCCCGCACAAGTAAGAACAACTAAATGCGAGACTTTTGAACCTTCCAATCCTTCTGACGAATAAGTGGGATATAGTAAAGAAATTGTCATGTCTTCTCTTCCTCTGCCTGCTCTCCTACCCCGGCCAGATGGCTTGCCATGCCAAATCGTACGTGCTAGCAGGAATGACCCAAGGTTCAATGTTGTATCAACTCCTAGCAGGATGGTTTCAGGGGGCTGTAGCTTGGTTGGTGAGACAACTATGTTGATGTAGATAAGGGAAGTCGGCAAGACAGGCCTCCAGATTCGGGATAAGGAATAGCTGTGTTTGACCGGGTCTTAAAGAGTCTTGTATCGCAATTGACACACCGTGGAATGGTGCAGTATGGACAAGGGTCGACTGTAATCTTCATTCCACCATGTCCACATTGGCACTGGCAGAGTGTTAGAAGATACTTATACATTTCCAAGACTAGTAAGAGTGCAGGTGTTGAGGAAACTAGCAATAGCAGTCCGAGTCTCATAACCTGCACTTTCGATCAAGTAGACTCACACAAATCCATAAATACACAACCTTCTTACGGGGAGGATGCTCTTTGAAGGGAGCCTGAGGGTCGAGGGGAGGCGCAGCTTCAAGTTGACAGTCTGGAGAGGTCGCGTGTTCACCTTTGGCGAGAGGACATGCGAAAAGCCGGCCAGATTCGATCGCTCTGCCGTCAGATCCTGGACCGTTTAAAGCCGGACTTTCCTGCTCTATTACGAATCGAAAGGCCCCCTCGTCTGCCCATGAAATGTCGCCGTTCTTGGACATTCTGTAGACAGATATGTGCTGATGACTGGTGCGTCGTATTGAGTACGAAGCAAAGAAAATAAAACAGCGGATGACGATAGATGACGTTCAGATACCAAATTGTGGAAGAATTTTATCTATCAAAGAAATCGCACCCACGCGAGCCTCTGAAAAGAAGACATCAGGGCATAGTCGTGCTATTCATGACCCCTGGGCTAGTCTATAGGAGGGCTGCCTACACGAGCCCTCTTCGATTCAGGTTAGCGGGAGTGTGGGCCCCTAGACTGAAGGGGTTTGCGGCTGCGCAAGCGATGACACTCGACACCTTGCGAAACTGTCCAACATCCTGAAGCCGGTATATACCTGTCTTAGCCAGCGGATGGACAGCACCAGGGTAGGATGGTGCGGTATACATGCGCGACAAATTCCGGAAACACTCGCCCGGTTTGCAGACTGGTATATAATATGCACAAGATAGGTATGAGCCTTTCCAAGTCACGCGCTAGAGGCTAGTGGTCATCCTATGCGCATTTTATCAATTCTATTTAGCAAGAATTTTCCTTTAGTCGCTCACATTTGTGGAGCGGTCAGATCTTGACAGTGATGCCGTTTCTCCACAACTCACACGTTCGTGGGAATAACGTGCCAGTCTACTAAGAGATTGCGCGTTGTTTGATATCTTGGCACAATATACTAAATTGTATGCGACCATTGAAACCGAGTTCGCCTCTATTTCGATTCACCCTTTTTCGTCGCGTCTCCTTTCAGCACAACCTTACCCACGATCCTTTGCCCAACTGACCGATCGCAACATCATCAGACAAACTTCCTCCCATAAGGCCTCGCAGGGACTTCCCCAGCGACTTTCCTCCTCCCCAAGACGAACCCTTCTCGTGGGCGTGACGATGCACACATATAGCTATTAGGAGGCAAGAAAAACGTTTCCCTTTCTTCTTCGAGACCACGGCTCCCGAATCGCCGTCGCACCGAGCTGGAAGAAATATTGGAGACCATCAACTATCTAGCAGTGGACGCCCATTGAGACAGCTGGGCAGGCTGTGAGTCGGTGACCATGACGGAGACTTGATGGCGGTAAGTGCCTCCTCGGCCCTGGCATGTTAATCCAGCTGATCGGTTCTAAGGACAGATGGTGGATGGTGCCGTCTGAGACGTGGTCATTGCCCCTCTCGATCATTCATACGGCTAGTCCAGAACATCTACCAGAATGCGAACGTTCACATTGCAAATACACTCTTCCTGCAGGCCTCGAAAGCCTATCCAGTTCCAGCAATCCACAACATCAGCGCGCTTCTTAGCCCCTCTTCACGATGCGCTCGGTCTGAGTGTGCGACTGAGCGCGAAAAACATCCGCAACACTCGGCTCATAGAAGCTCGCGACCTACAGGGCGATGTGTACATGCTCGTCTTGCGACGCGGTGATAACCGAAACCTGCAGTTCCGATCCGAACCGCTAGTTAACGTACGCTACCTCACCATGACGAACGCAACATGCAGTGAGCAAGACAACGATCCTATGCAGCTGGCCTGCCGCTAGAAGCTGGGGGTATCCTTCGCAAGAAGAGTCAAACACAAGAAAGAGGCGGAGGGATATCTTATCGGCCAGGGCGATGTCCAGTAGCAGGACTACCTGATGTTGAGGGACCACTGTCAGAGGAGGCTCCTGGTATCCGCCCGTGAATAGCTACCATCAGCAGTACCGAGGCCCTGCGGGGCAGTACACTGTGTTTGACTCTGATGAATAGCTGTATTATTGCATTATCCTTCTGATGGACCAAAGCTCACTGATGACTAAATTCTGGAGGAAAGCCTTGTAAACCCTATGAAAAAGCCACATGCCGGCTGGCAACGTGCGTGTTAATGCTTATCACACACTTTTGTAGAGGCTTGTTCTCAGATATAGCAGCTACTGCAAGCTGAGATGTCAGGTGTATATTACCCGTCGATATTTTCCGTCAAGGTAGGATAGGCTCAAAGATGAAAGATGCTCGGCATGCGAGGGCCGGTATTCCTCTAAAGGTTTATGAAAATCATCGAATCATCGATATCCAGGATACTGTAGTGAAATCTAGGTAAAATAGTGTCTGAGATAATTTCCGTATGGCAACCCTGACATTCCCATCTCGAATAGGCTTCTCTGAAAACGACGGGACAGGTCGCACGGTTGAGAGGCGGCTGTATAGTCAAGTGAAAGGCTTTCAAGACCGGCCCCTCAGTGGTTCTAGCTCACTGGCAAGGCAAGCAAACACGATGCAAACTAGTTTTCAGAGCCCCGCTTCTCCCCAATCTTGGACTCTGAGGGCGCTCTTCGCTTCCTCCTTCGCTCCTCTTGCTCAATGACAGGGACTGCAGCAGGGATAAACTCAACTCCGCGATTACGGCTATTGGGTCGTGCGTGTAACTTGCGGTGATTGTTGAGGTTATCTTGGCGGTTGAAATGATCCTTTCCGCAGAACTCGCACGAGAAACGGTTAGGTCCTTCACCGTGGAAACTGCATTTTGTTAATGTCCATCTTTGGCCAATCTCAGTAACTACTCACGTTTGCTTGTGACGTTTGAGATGTTCGTTTCGTCGGAAGGCCTTGTGGCAGCCAGGATAATCACAATTGCACATGGCTCTTCGAACAACATCAACTTGAGCAGAATCAGGCTTGATTGATCGCTTCCTCGGCGATCGAACCTGAGCTCGCTGAAATTCAGGGCTCTTCTGTTGGATCCCATGTACCATCAACTTCCTTTGAGCACGCATGCGGTTGGGAGAGTTAGGGTCATGAAGGTGGTAACCAAGGGGTGACTGAGAGTGGCGGTCCATATCAAAAGTGTCAAAGTCACTTGAGAGTTGTATGCTGTGGAAGAATGGTCTGGGGCTATCGTTGGCACAAGACCATGACGAGCCGGTCTCGGCAACTTCAGAGCCAGAGATGCTTTGGGTTGGTGTCATCATGAGAGAGGCGGGATCTATTGAGGCATCAGGAGAGTATGAATACATGCTAAAGGAGCTTGATGGTGTTAATGAGCCCATTGATCCGTGATGTGCCATGTCCATGTCAATCATGCGATCGTACTCGAAGCCAAGTTGCTCTCGCTTCATGGGGGCATTGGGAAGAGAGTCGGAAAATGAGATGCACTCAGGCTCAGGCTTGACAGGGCCAAACATGAACTTGCCCATCGCTGATGAAGGAGGGGTCAGCTCTGCCCCCCGTTGGGAGACAGAGTCGTAAGGAGCATCAAGGTTCATGTTGCCGAGTTCATGAGGTGTTGATCGTCGAGATGTAGGAGTGAATGGGTCGTAGGCTGATGAGGCGGAGGAGAAGCTGGTGGTGATTGAAGGGTGGGACATGGGGCTGGAGGTATTGTACATATCAAACCGGTAATCCGCCTCGAACTGCATTTTGATATAACAATGAAGAAGAGATATGTGGACAAGATGAAGAGTCGATATTTCTGGGATAATAGCAATCAAAACGAAGAGACTTGAAGATGGCTCGTTTCGTTGAAGGACGTGGGGCCTCTGTTATGCAGTGACTTGACCACCAAGATCTCTCGCCACTTGAGGACTGAATCATGCTGAATGGACTGGATTGGAGAGTCTGCAAGTCTTAGACATCAATGCTGCAAGTCTCACAGATAGTTCCTGGATATCCGTCCGATGCTGCATACTGCAGAGGACCGAGCGGCACAGGAACATCTGCGAAGGCCTAAAATGGCCTTATATCAGAGGCCGAGTTGGTCCATATAGACATTGCACATGTAGATAATCTCACGATTGCATAGCCTGCACGAATCCACCTAAAGTATATTGTATATTGTATATACAGTTACCATCATACTCTTACTTCAAGACGCTTGATGAATCATCAATTGCACCTTCGCCCCCAAGACTCGGTACAGGGGGCGCCATTGGCTGAGAAACAGGAACGAGTTCGATAGGATGAATTGGGATGAGAGCACCTGATTTCTTTCCTGGGGCTCCCACGACTGGTTACAAACCCAAATGACATTGTGATAGCCATGGATTACCAAAAGCAGAACGTCACAGATCCTTTCGATTCTAATATCAAAATGAATAATAATTATTATCCTACTTCAAAAGAATACTGAGGCTCCGTATACTCGATCAATAGCTGAGATGGTCCGGCCGAAAGGCTAGACGATGCCATAGCACATGATGTCGCACAATGCAGTAGTGTCAGGTTCTCTGCAAGGGGCATCAGGCAGGCAACTGATCTTCATTCAGCTAGTCGAGGTACTCTAATGCCCCACCGCGTAGCTCAAGCGGACCAAACAACTCTCTGCTACTAAGATGATGCAGTCGATAGTCTGATGCTTTCGGCTACATCACGGGACTCCATTGATTTCACGGCGACGATGCATTGGATGACAGAATCTACCTCAGCTTTGAGATCAAACTCTAAGTTAGCTGCATCAAGTAGCCTGCCTTAGCCACGGTCTAGCCCGCGCCGGATACGCAGATCCGTAGCGATTTCTAATCAGAAACCGCTGCTAACTGTAATCATGCATCACATCCACTTGGCGTTGGTTTATACAGAGGTCAATGATATGTAGTCTGGTATTTTCAAGCGGAAAGTGCCCTAGGCGATTTTGGCCACTACTTGGCCATGAATGAAGAGACGATCGTGTCTCAGTCCAAGTTTCTTGTCTTGCCCGGAATAGTTGTGGGTTGCATATCAGGAGTGAAGACAATAGCGCGTGTGACACGTAACACCAAGCGTGCCAGGCCCAAAAACATGTTGCCCCTTGCTTTACGGCGTGGAGTTGGTTCGTTAAAAGGGTTTATCAAAGAGTACATGTCATAAATGCAGCTCTAGACAAGATAGTCTGGTGGCAAGCAGGTCCGATCGTCGGCTGTCGATATAGGGATGAGGAGCTGAGGGTATGGTCCAAGGACCAGCATCGCATGTCGCGCGTTGATGGTGGGGAGCTCTGTCACCAGGCCCGACAATCGACAGCGCACCACCTGGAGCAAATAACACTCAAAGCTTCAAGTTCCTCTCAATCGGACCGGCCCGGTTCGATTGTCGAAGTAGAGGCATGATCACTTGGCCACAATCCTTGTGTCATTTACGCCTATCTTACGTCTAATGATTGGTAATAGATTGTGATGATACATAGAAAGCCTCAATGAGCTTTTGTACGCCTTGAGGTCCTCTAAAAGGCTTGAAGCCGTAGCAACACCCACAAGTTCATCGTCGAGGGAATGCGTATGAGGAATAAAAATATGTGGCTTGCTATTACCCATACTCATCGTTCGGTATAGCGAGGAGGATGACCTGAGAGAGTTGCCATATGCCCTAGGACATCTTCCGTCGACGAGGCAGCCTCAGCCATACAATTGTACTTCATTCGATGTCCGCAGTATGCCTTTTGGTCCGCCACTTGTATCTGAGAATCAAGGTGCATGAGAATGGCCATTTTCATCTCACGCATAGGCTCGACAAGCCTCAAAGCTTAGAAGGTCAAATTCAAGATTGAATGAGAATGAGAGGGGAACGACAGGCCTCAGATACTATATTAATTGGTCATTATACTACGACTCACTTGTTCATGAATCACTCGATTCTTCTAAGTGGCCAGATTGGGCTGGCAACAACTTGTAGCTAAGTTAAAGCATTATGGTGGTGGCATGCCTTACCATGACGACGCCAGAGGCTGTGCAGCGAAGGCTTCTCACACTTATCACGGGAATCCGTCGCAACTCATTCGGGTCTTGAGCCAATCCAGCCTCGAGAGTTACACCCGGGTGCTGACTTTTTCATTCTCGAGCTGCGCATCCGGTCGTTGTTCCCATTTGTCTTCACATCGCTCAGAGCAATTCGAGAAGACAAAATGTTGTTGATACTATCGGTGGAGGCGAGGTTACCGGTCCTGGAGTCTGATTTTGCGAATTTCATAGAGGATAGCGCTTCCAATGAGTCAAACGAACAAGTGGTGGGGCGCGGGAGGTATGCGAAAGCTGATAATTTCGCGTCGAGGGTTATACTCAAAGCGTCCAAAGGCAACCTGGATCTTGTCGTGGAAGCGGGTGTAATCAGCTTTCCTAGGAGGGAAAGTTATTAGCGGCGAGTCGTCGCCAGTCCCGCACTTGCGCTTGAACTTGAAAAGCTCTTGTGGTTATTCACTGAGGACCGATTTCCGTTTGCGTTCGTCAGAGGCCGGAGGCGAAGGTAGAGACTAGCGTTGTCCAGGCCGAGGAACCCCTCGTCTTGACTTGACGAGAAGCGAAAGAGGCGCTCGAGATTATGATATGTGTTATAGATGGTGCGTATCCTCCATGCATGGAGTGCGCGCGCGTGGGAAAGCGATGCGATGCACTGCGTTGTGATGATGGTGATAGTGTTTAGAGTGAATGATGAGGACATGGCGCGTTGAGAAGTGGGATGCTAGGCGTTATCTTGTTAGCGCGGTAATGACTCAGCCTGACCCCTATTTTGATCAATCAGAGCTCTCCACTTTCAACAGCCTCAAACCTACATTTCACTTCAAGAGCATCAATAGTGAGACTTCTACTAAGCTTTCACTGCATGTTGAGGCTTACTGGAGGGACGAACGCCTGGGCTCCCTCAGCTACCGAGCTTGAACATGCTGGCGAGAAGATCCATCTCTCTATTTCTATTTCTAGCCGCTCACATCTAGGCAGCAGTGCTTTGATCACCCATGCTAAACGCCACTTCTATATGATTGGGCAACCCTTCGGTACATTGGGGACGAAAACTCTGCCATCGAGAAACCAGGGGCTTTGTAACCATCCCTTATTCCAGCTATGGCGCTAATTCGTGAGGTGCGACGAGCTGAAATTACCCATGAACCTTTCATGCACGTGTGTTGTTAAAATCTACGATTCCTAACAGTGTCTATAACTGAACAAAACTCTTCAGCATCCACAGCACCATGTGCTAAAATCCCCTTCGCAACCATCGTATACGACTTGAAGAATCCAGATGGCATGTCAATAGAGGAGCACGATTTCCCTTCACTCACCCCATAGCTCTAGCGAACAGCTCCCGGCAGGACCTTTCACCTCCTCTGAATACAAGAGTCCCCTGCCTTGATTGCCTCGAAACTCTGCTCAATCCCAGAACCAACCACAAATAGATGCAGCAATTATATCTGTCATACCTGGCCGCTAAACTCAACAACAAGACGGTCTATTTATATTGCTCGACGAATTCAAACCACTGTCCTTCGTTACAAATGAAGGAACAGAATTGCATTCTGCCTCCATGCTCGGACCTTCTGCCATCGGCCGATACAAACACACCCATGAGCGAGCCCTCTGCGACTTCAAAAGATACTCCTTTCAGTGAAGGTCATAGACGTTTCTAGCCAAATACCTGGCTTGTTCGCTTACATTCTCACAGGTATTTCCTTTTCACAGATTCCTGGCCGATCTGGGTCAGAGTTGGCCGAGTCGCAGTCGTTTCTATTTACTCCCACGTTTCCTGGGCGCATAAATCCTTCTTTACATGGCTCCACAGAGAACACCCTACTATCAGAAGCCGATGCGCACTGTCGACTAGTGAGAATGGCTATTCCTCCAACAACACATCCCCTCGTCTATTATCAACAATCACATCCCGCAGCATCGATAGCATTGGCGTCTCCTGCCGCCCAGGTACCGGTGAGGAAGCTATCCAAAAAACGCCCTCGCCTACCTCAAGACCCTATATCAGGCAGTAACGGGCCCGCCTCGGCCAAAAGAAAGTATACACGAGTTTTCCAGGTATCAACCTTGTGTACTCTGGAAATGTCAAGTACTAACAGGAGATAGGCGTGCAAAGAATGCCGGCAGCGGAAGGTCAAGTGCGACGAGACCATACCATGCCAAAGCTGTAAGGAAAAGGGTGTTGGTTGCATATACGATGACCCAGCGCCGAAGAGGTATGTTGAGGAGAATCTCGTTGAGTTGAGGTGATAACAAAGATTATAAACAGGAACACAAATACTCACGCTGATTGTTTAGCACATATAAAGCGATTGGAAAAGAGAATGGACGAGTTGGAAGCGTGTCTTAAGGACTTTGCTACACCAGAGCCCAAGCCGGAGCTTTCAATGGAAGATAAGGATGGTCGTCCGCCAGTATGGCTTGTTACCGCCAATCACCCTTGTACTGACCCAGCAAACTTCGGATCCAAAGCTACACCAGTACTAGAGAGAAGACCGTCAAGTGCCTCATGGTGATTGCGGTGAGGCCTCTAGCGGACACAGCAACATGAGGCGCCATGAGGAGTAGCTTCACGAGTCCAATTTCAATTGACAGGAGTTGAGAAATACATGTTTAAAGGGCGAGACTGTCCTACAACCAGGGACGAATCACAGATTAAGCCTCGAGCCATCTTGCGGTTCAGAGCAGGCTCTATGATAAGATGACTTGAATGGGTCTGGTCAAAGACACTTTGCTGGGAAGTCTGGTGAAGCTCCTCGACGATAGAAAGAAAGCTGGAGGGTATAAAGATAATACAGCGACGTCTAGGGTTGGTTTCTCGTCTCATGTCTACAATTCTATTATTTTAGCAGTATAGAACGCGAAATCTATTGCACATATGCTTCAGACAGGTGCAGGGTGCCCACGTTGAGAGAACATAGCTAAGTATGTGAAGAGGTACGACGATTGTAAAATCGCAGACAATGCTGGCAAGATAATTATATCGAGGACTGATATCAAGAAAAACCCGCATATCACTGCTCATACTCCTTGAAGGGTGTCGTCAAGCCCATGCTCAACGTCGTCAAGACATGGTTCTGGTATGAGTAGCAGACAGACGGAGGCTTTCTTTATCATGGTATCTACTCGGTAAAATATGCACCATCACCGAATTGTTGTAGAATGAATGAATTGAAACGTGCAATAAAAGTCTCTTGGGAATTTGATTCTTCAATCTTGGCCTATAGCCGTGTCAAACAATATCTTTCTACTTATTCGACGGATGGCCACAGAGGTTATCAGAAAGGCTCAAGCTTACTAACACGCAAAATCAGAAGCACCTAAATCTTAGGCTATCGTCCAGGTACAAGAAAGTATATATGATAGTGTTTGTTCAGCTGGCTTAGTGCGGGGGTCGCGGGGCAAGAGCTCTACGAAAACAAAATCCCAAAATGTAGAGCCTCAAAAGAACCTGGGGTACTGTGGATACGACTTCAGGAACGAGATCCGCAGTGGAACAAACCTAACTTGACATCAGAGTAGAATAAGGGTCGAGGGCCATTCGACCCGTTGCTTTGTTACTTCCCCTTGCAAGTCCATTCTTTCCTTTACCGCTGTCGTCTACACAGAACAGCGTTTTCATGATAAAAATAGTATCACTATAGAAAAGCGCAAGTGACAGCTAATAGCTAAGTGACACATCAAATTCCTGCCTCTATTGTAAGTAAACTTAAAGCGGTCAGGAGAGTTTACCCATGATTTATGGCCTTTCTTGCCGCCTCACCTTGTTCTGCAGGTAACATTCTCGAACTGCCAGGGGAAAAGATATTTTCAATCCTTTTTTTTGGTCTGGTTCGTTGTGAGCAGTCTCGGCCGAGTGTGGCTTGCATTATCACATGCTACGCTATTTCTTGTATCAACAACGAGCAATTGTTTCGACAGGGATGTAGAACCTCACCGCCATATTTCACGTGGCTACGTATGTTGCTATTGGCCAACATCTACTGTAACGCTTAGGGGACGTATCTTCAGGGTCTGGGAGCCGGCAGCCATGTTCTCCAGCCGCAACATGGTCAACCCTGTGCAGAGTTTGAGCCATGTCATGTAAGCTACAACTGTCGACCTGAGGAACCAGAAGGACTTGGTCGCTGCTTCATGATGAAAAGGTACGAGCCGATACCAGTGAAGAGAAACCTCTCGTTGTTTGATCCCGACCGATTGATATGCATTAATATGACGAAAGACCCTCATTGCAGGGGCTACTGTAGAGACTTTCTTTCCATGTTGGTGCCAGCAACCTGATACAAATGATGGAAACTGCCAGCCTTATCCGACTGCCAAAGATATCTTACTGACTCCAGTCATTAGACGCCGGGAGAGATCTACCAGGAGTAGATGCATATTGGGTGGTAGGATCCCTGACTGCCGTGATTCCTCTGGTACAAAGGATATCAGTTGAGCATAAGAATCAGAGATTTTCGCTTCACTGTCTTGGTGTTGATGCTTGCTACGCCGAGAACGATCAATAGCAAAGAATTGCAAATTAGCACATTCCATCTCTGCTTTCATTGTCGGATCCTCACAGATGCACAATGCCGATGATGAACTGGCCTCTGCGCCGTCGCATCCGTCACCTCCAAGGCCCTCCCCTATTTTTTTATCCAAACGCAACGAGGCAATTACGATAAGTAGTGAGATTCAAAGCAGAGTCGGAATTCTTGATCCCAATACAGCAACTCTGGCCGATAAATCTATGCACTCTATACCAGCATTCTTGGAACATCACCGAACCCAGACGGATCCATGTAGCGCGTGGGTGCAGAGCATCTCGAACCCGTGGATTCAGAAGACTTGGAATCAATGGATTCAGAACATTCCGACTCAGGCAGCGATGCCTGAGACACATCCCACTAGTATTTGCCTTCAGCTACTCGAACGAGCCGTTTTCCTTCTTTGCAAGCTCCAGGAGTCCGTTGGTATTGAGTCGAGCAGCCTTCGTAAATTCACTGCTGGGACTATCAATGGCGACGAGAAAAGCATGGAGGAGACGATTGATATATGCTTCGCTACCAAGATCGTATTCAGCGGCGAGCTGTCCGTCGAGAGGATTGGCAAGCAGTTCGGTGATGATAAAGCTCTCTTTATGCGCAACATGATATTTGGGGACGCTTCATTGTTGAAGACAGTGGTGGAGATGCGGAAGCATTGCTATGACTCGAAGCCCGTGCCGCTACTGCCGATAGAACTTCGGTATGCTACTGCTACCGTTTATTTGGACTTTCTCGAATGTTACGTCAAGATGTTTGTCCAGAGATACCTTTGAAACAGCAAATGACCAGAGAAGGTCGTTGAGAAGGAAGACCCTGAAAAGATTGTTACCCTAAGCGCAGTAGTCACGCACAGGCTCAGCCGCTCTTTGCGCCTCGCTCAATCATGATTCTATGAATTACGGAATCGGTCAATTCTCGAAGTGGCTGTGAGGAGGCGCAGTGAGTAAGGCAGACTTCTATCGTTGTCAGGAAGTATTTAAATCAACGGCCGTTGTCCAGAAGCTTAGAATGTAATTCCATTCCTTATTGCATCGAAAACCCAGAGAGCCAATATCGGAACATCCAACAGTTGTCGCGCAGCATCGTGGTTCTGCTTCCCGAGTCCGACCTCTGCACATCCCCCAACAGGCAAGTACAAAACAACAGAAACTGGAGATGGGCCAGTGTCCAGCAGGAGGCCTACAACTCGGCAAGGCGACCTGACAGGCGCTCCGCAGAAGACACCGCAGAGGCTAATTAATTAAAAACCATCGCTACCAGATGGCGAGACACTGAGCTATTTGCAAAGCAGTCGAAAAGACATTTCTGTATAAGGATGGCCAACCCAAACATTGAGATGATCGTCGTGCTAATTCTGTTGGTGTCATTCTATCTTCTGGCCTGCCTCCCAGGAACATCCTCGACATTGCTGTTGGGAAGACTTTGGACTTTGTCTCCAACCCTTCCGTGATGCGTTATCTGCATGGCCCGCAGCAAGGCATCGTCAGCAACGTGCCCCACCAAGCTCCAACTCCCCGGCACTACCAATTCAGCCCTAGACCTCTAGTCACAGAAGATGGGTTGCAGTGGATGGTACAGTGCGAGTCCTCCCGAATAGAGAGACAGGGTTCGCATAGATGGGACATTTTTCTGGATGGTCCGCTCTGACAGGCGGCACCAGCCATCCTTGCTTTCCGACAGGGACCAGGCACGCCGCTAACAGAAGTCGGTAGAATTGGTTCACCCCGCGCTCGACAGGGGATCCCCGCCAGCCTCCCAGCCGCCCTTGATTTTGTCTCAAAGAACCCTCAAAGAGGAGCAAGACATGCAAGCACGCAGCAATTGGGACGAGGCCGGTTGGGATAGCCGAGGGCCCGCTTTGACTAATTTACGCCCTCAATTTGAGCTAGGTTTCGCTCTGTTTTTTCTTTTTTTCCTCCTCCGAAGGCTTTTCAATCCAACGGAGGACATCAGCTAGCCTCAAACACCCCTGCCACTCACCCCCCCCCGGCCAAGAGCTCCTCTGGAATAGCCACGGACCATCTGCACAAGCCTGTACTCTTTATGGTACTGGGGTACCTTGCTTTGCATGGACTCATGAACGCGCCTTCACACTAAATCTTCGTCATTGGAAAGTATGACCAGTCCGGGCTGCGGCCGCAGATCCTTTGGTCCCATGCCAAAGCCTTATCGCCTCTTCCCTCTTGCACCTGATGCCTGTGTTTCTCAGGTCGGACCAGCATTTTCCGCCCCCAGCTTCGCACTGGGTTTTCGTCCCGCAGCCCAACCCCTACCGTGAGCAGACGTGTTTGGACCTTGCCAACATCTTGCCTCGAGAGTGAGCAAGAACGTATAATCGATCTCAACTTTCCCTGGTTCTTGCAGTCTTTCATCACACCAACAAATTTCGGGAAGCTTTGTGTTTGACCCCTTCATTTCAGCATGCCGCACTCTCAGCGTGAAGATGATGCCTCCGCGACGACGGGCGGTGCTCCCATACCGGTGACGCTTGTTACCGACTCTCTCGAAAAGCCTTCCCTCGACAATCGCAACTATCGAGTTATTCGTCTTGGCAATGAGCTCGAGGCTCTCCTAGTGCACGACCCCGAGACCGATAAGGCCAGCGCTGCCCTGGATGTCAATGTGGGAAATTTCAGTGACGAATCTGATATCCCCGGCATGGCTCATGCGGTTGAACATGTAAGTGCCCTAACTCGACATCTGTGATGTCGCACAAACAGACAGTGGACTAACATTTCTGCTTGTCCACAGCTTCTTTTCATGGGCACCAAGAAATTCCCAATTGAGAACGAATACGGCCAATACCTCTCCGCCAAYTCRGGAAGCTCAAATGCTTACACTGGGCCAACATCGACGAACTATTTTTTCGATATTTCTGCCAAGCCGGACAATGACCAGGATCCTTCAGATACCAACCTTTTTCCTCTGCGCGAGGCCCTGGATCGATTCGCTCAGTTCTTTATCGAACCGCTCTTTCTACCCGAGACCCTGGACCGAGAGCTGAAAGCTGTTGATTCAGAGAATAAAAAGAACCTTCAGAATGACACATGGAGGCTTCATCAGCTGGAGAAGTCTCTATCYAACCCCAACCACCCGTTCTGTCAYTTCTCAACCGGCAATTTTGAGGTTCTTAAGACACTTCCTGAGGCACGTGGAATTAATGTGAGGGACAAGTTTATCGAGTTCCATGCTAGACACTATTCAGCAAACCGCATGAAGCTGGTTGTTCTGGGTAGAGAACCGCTTGACGTSCTTCAGAAATGGGTTGCCGAGTTGTTCTCTCCTGTCGTCAACAAAAAGCTTCCACCAAACAGGTGGCCGGGCGAACTTCCTTTCAGGGAAACCGATCTCGGTATGCAGTGTTTCGCGAAGCCCGTCATGGACTCGAGAGAGCTTAACCTGTATTTTCCCTTCATCGATGAGGAGTTTATGTTTGCTACTCAACCTAGCCGATATATCAGTCATCTCATCGGGCAYGAAGGCCCTGGAAGTATCATGTCCTATATCAAGTCAAAGGGTTGGGCAAATGGCCTTAGTGCCGGCGCCTACCCTGTTTGCCCTGGTACTCCTGGTATCTTCGATGTACAGGTTCGCTTGACGGAAGGAGGTCTTAAGAACTATCCTGAAATCGTCAAGATATTTTTCCAGTACATCACCCTCCTGCGCGAGAGTCCACCGCAGGAGTGGATWTTTCAAGAGCAGAAGGGAATGGCTGATGTCGATTTCAAGTTCAAGCAGAAGACGCCCGCCAGTCGCTTCACCAGCCGAATCAGCTCGGTCATGCAAAAGCCTCTTCCTCGGGAATGGTTACTTAGTGGACACAGCCGTCTCCGAGAATTTGCTCCTGATGAGATCGAAAAAGCCCTTGCCACGATTCGCCCGGATAACTTCCGCATGGTCATTGTATCGCGCAATTATCCTGGCAACTGGGACCAGAAGGAAAAGTGGTACGGAACTGAATATCGACACGAGAAGATACCGGAGGATCTTATGGAGGACTGCAAGAAAGCTTTTGCGGTCTCTCCCAAAGATCGACTGCCTGCCCTTCACCTGCCTCACAAGAATAAGTTTATCCCCAACAAGCTCGAGGTCGAGAGGAAGGAGGTGGCCGAGCCGGCACTGAACCCTCGGGTTCTTCGCAATGATAGCATTGCCAGGACATGGTGGAAGAAGGATGATACCTTCTGGGTTCCTCGCGCCAATGTTATTATCAGCTTGAAGACACCAATCATATACGCTTCGGCAGAAAACAACGTCAAGGCTCGACTATTCTCAGACCTCGTCCGTGATGCACTCGAGGAGTACTCGTACGACGCGGAGTTGGCTGGCCTGCAGTACAACGTCAGTCTCGATTCGCGCGGTCTGTTCTTGGACGTTAGCGGCTATAATGATAAGCTTCCCGTGCTCCTGGAACAGGTCGTCACCACAATGCGAGACCTGGATATCAAGGAAGATCGGTTTGAGATTCTCAGGGAGCGCTTGACCCGAGGATACAGCAACTGGCAGCTGCAATCATCTTATCACCAGGTTAGCGACTACACTAATTGGCTCAATGCCCCCGAACGGGACTTTATAGTGGAGGAGCTCGCAGCAGAGCTTCCAAGTGTCACATTGGAAGGTGTCCGACTGTTCCAGAAACAGATGCTTGGCCAGGTCTTCATTGAGGCGTACGTACATGGTAATACGTACAAGGAGGATGCTCTCAAAGTAACAGATATGGTTGAGTCTATCCTGAAACCACGGGTTTTGCCCAAGGCCCAGTGGCCTATCCTGCGGTCACTCATTCTGACAGAAGGTTCCAACTACGTTTTCAGAAAGACTCTCAAGGACCCTGCCAACGTTAACCACTGCGTCGAGACTTGGTTTCATGTCGGTAGCAGAGAAGATCGCAACATTCGGACCAAGACTCTCCTTTTAGACCAGATGCTCCATGAGCCAGCCTTTAATCAGCTCCGGACGAAGGAGCAACTCGGCTACATCGTTTTCAGCGGACATCGAGATTTCTCGACGACTTATGGTTTCCGCTTCCTCATCCAGAGTGAAATGACACCAGAGTTTGTTGACTCGCGTATCGAGGCCTTCCTCGTGAGATATGAAGACACTCTAGAGAAGATGAGCGAGACAGAATTCGAGGGCCACAAGCGAAGCCTGATCGTCCGTCGTCTGGAGAAGCTCCGAAATCTGGACCAGGAATCTACTCGTCATTGGAACCAGATCACAAACGAATACTACGACTTCGAGCTTGGTAAGTCAACAGAGAGCATGCTATATACGGTAAAGAAATACTGACCTTCTACATAGCCCATCGCGATGCCGCACATATTAAGCTCCTGACCAAACCTCAGGTCATCGAGTTCTTCAACCAGCGCCTCAATCCTGTCTCCAGTCACAGGGCACGGTTATCAATTCATCTTCAGGCTCAAGGCAAGGCTGAAGGGGTCGACAAGCGACAGGAAGAGGCTCAGAAGAAGGCCGACGAGGAGCCCTCCCCTGGAGATGCTGTAAAGACGGCCGAAGAAATCACTGATGTCAGGCTTTACAAGGCCGGCCTTACCGCAAGTTCAGGAGCGAGACCCGTCAAAGACATCAGCGAGTATGAGGATATGGATGCAAAGCTGTAGAGGTTATGTTGGGTTGACTTGGGGCCCGGGTCAATTCTAGGCACACCGTCCGGATCTTGATTCAACTTCTTCAGATATAATCCCGTTTTAAATATACCTCTGACATATTACTGATCCGTTCCTCTTATGCATCTCGAGTCACTGGAGAGTAAACCCATTTTTTTGACATTATGGCAAGGTGTTGCTTGAAAGTGAACCATGCAAGACTGTTCAAGATCGATTCGACATCGCCGTCCTCCAATGAGGGCAAGGCCACTCAACACAGCCCCCAGATCTTCTCATAGGGTTATCACAAGGAATACAGGTCCATGAGCCGTCCACTGGTCATTTAGCTATGACCAAAAACACATTTTTTGTCTCATGTTACTCTCCATACGCGCATATGTACACTAATTGAGTTGCTTGTGATGTGTTGTTCGTGCCGCTGCAGTGCTGGCTGGGGTGCGAGAGCTGGAACTGACTGTCAGAGTCAGACACGCAGCCGCCGAGTGTCACGGTCCCGAACTGAGAAGCCCCAGCTAAACTGAGGGTTTGATAGGAAACGAGGTGAAGACATCGAGTTCTGATGCTCAGACTGCGAGTGTTGCCACTAAGCATCAGCGTGAGCTCGGGTCATGCTTCTCCTGGAGGCGTGGGCAAAGATGCATAGGCTCCGTTGTTCTCGCTTATCATTGGAGGAGGAGCCGGAGTGCTGGGATTAACACTGTCCTTGTCGATAATTTCCTTGAGGGTAGACTCAAGACCCTTCTATGGGAATGCCTTGACCTCCTTCTTGATGTTGCGGAGCTTAGGGTTGGGGAAGCGCATGATGATCTTGAAGAAGTCCTGGTTGTCTGGCTTAGTCTTTGATAAAAATCCTTCTAATTTACGGTGAGTATGATCCTTCTCCTTGACATGTAAATGCTTTAGCACTGCGACCAGCTGCTCAAGAAGATCGATAGCGTCGACTGATGTAATACAACACTTGCCTTTTTCGGCCTACCAAATGCATGATATACAGATGCTGTTGGCTGGCCGGTTACTGGCGCTTGCTGAGTGGCAGGTCGTGTTCGCAGTCGACTTCTTTTGTGTGTTGCGGAAATGGACAAGCCGGTGACAGTTGGCCCATTCCTCATCCATCGATTCTAACTTGCCTGGGAACTTCAAAGCTACCTTATCAGAGTAAATCAAGTTAGGATGGTTACTTGTGTTGTTTCTAGAATTTGTAGTGATGATGCTAGTTCGGACAAGTTGAGGAGCACCGTTAGAGTCAGATGTAGAAGATATCCCCAAAGCTTTCATAGGTATTCTGACCAGAATTTGATGGTAGCCGAGGCTCACCTTTGGGGGGGATACTCGGATGATCAATCGTAGAGGCAGTTTCCACGCCCTCAGGCTCAAGCATCGTAGTTGGTCTCGTGCTCTCATCCCCAGACGGCTTGAGATACTCAGATGTACCAACGGGAATGCGAGGGATTTCCTCTCCAGAAGGACCCTTGAGGAGGAGTGACAATACACGTTGCTGTTCTGACAGTCTGTGGCCAAAAGCTGAGGCGCAAATGTAGATAAAGTCTGACCCTTTTGTCTGGCTTTACAAATGTTTTGAGCATATGAACTCTAAAAAACAAACACCAAAAGTCACATTGGCCCCGGAGTCGATAGTAAAAACAAGCCATATGGAGACGAGAGCTTCACATAAACCCTGGTGCCAAAGGTGCCTGTTACAGGTTGGAATGTCAGAACTGCATGGCCAGAAGGCGCATGCCGTGCCATAGCGGCACTCCTGGATACAAAAGTTTCATTCAAGAGGGAATAGTTATGGAGATGTCACCGGGTTGGATAGGATTTCGTATTGTATTAGCCTGCATCTTGGTATCGGCCCACTTGGTAGCTAGCTGTCGTGGCGTCAAATATTTAGACAACCACATCGGCCTGCCAGTCCTAAGCAGAGTCTCAGTAAGGCAAAGTCGGTAATTATGCGGCATCTTGCCACTAATACCATCCCAAGTTGATGCCATCTCAAGTTGACTTGCTAGAAGCAGAGTCTACTCTGGAATCTCCCTGTTCTGTACTTGAACTATTGCTATGGGATAACTGCGGCCTATGAGGTTATGCTTTAGACTGCAAACACTGGGGATGAATAAGATCACAATATTGTTTTCCTCAATATGAGATTATACCCTTCAGCTTTCACGATGACCAATAAGTCTTGCTGCAGGCCCTAGGGCATTGCAAAGGGAAGAGATCAAGAGGTATATAATGGGATATGACCTCGGCTTTGCACCTCCGCACACACACCACAACAACGCAACTCCACAAACCTGTCAGCAGCAATCAGAACTGTTGACGGCGACGTCTCGACGTGATGAGAGGCTCAGTGCTACATCCACAGATTCCGCATCATATACCTGTACCTGAACAAACCTTTCACGAGAATCCGACTTACCGTCGACTCCAACCACCAGGGGCTCTTGTAGATGGTAGCTTGGTGCTTAGGTACTTGATAGCAGTGCTCGTGTCGTAGTGTACCAAAGACAAATCATTGATAAGCAAGCGGATGTCAAGAAAGAAAGGAGAAGGGAAACTGAATAGAGCTGGATTGTCGATATGATCAAGAGAGAGAGGGAGAGGAAGAAGAGGAGGAGGGGGGAAAGACTTTACTTTTTCACATGAATAGAGACGCACATCGCTGCAAGCAAGCCTAACACAATCTCTGAGAAGAGAAATTCCAGGGTCAGATCAAATATGGCTTCTTTTAAGCCTCTGAGCCTCATAAATGGCTATTGTGAGGCATTATACTTAACAAAACTCAACCATAAGAGAGAATGAAAATTGCCCTGCCCTACATATCTATGATGTCGTTGGTCATGGGCTCCATCATGGTCAGGTTCTGATACATTACTTAGGTATTGCTGTTTCTTTGTTTCATCGCAATAATAGCCGAGTTACTACAAAAGGCTTAAGAAACCATTGGGACTGCAAGGGAATTATATAGATTGAGGTCCATTATTAGATATTATTATGCAGTATGGAAACCTTTCGAACCGCAGGTGGCTGGAGTCCCCGCGCGGCGAGGTAGCATGGCAGAAACCGCCTGCAGATGTTACCAACAAAATAAATTATCTCTAAACTCTATGTCGGTCTTAGGGACCGGATCAATGAAGGCATGCAGTAAACGGCGTCTGTGGATCATGCCGCGGCTGATAGTCCAGACAGTGCGGGGTCTTGCAACCGCCGTTGGCAAGTAGGAATTGTGACCAAGATATCGAATGATGGGGTAGCTGCTAGACTTGATCTGCCAGTCCCTACTTGTATAGTAATGTCTGCTATGGCATACGTAGATGGCACAGTTGTAGCACTAATCTTACGGAGACTGGCCCCGTCCCCTTTCCAAAGCTATACAAGTCCACACGTGCTAGATCGTTTCCTGTTCCGGATGGCCAGGGCCCCGAATGGTCTGTTATCCCGTTACTACCACGTGAAGGAAACGGGCAGTCTAGTCTAAGATAACACGCGAGGATCGGCCGGGGCGTCTCTCCGAGACACTTTAATACGTAATGGAAACTGGGAATCTCCGGTTTTAAACTTTTCAGGCGAAGGCTTGACGCCACATAACTTCTTGCGAGCGATTGTTGAAGCGCCTTTCTCGAAGTCTGATCACATTCATCGCCCCCTTTGTTTGAAAAATAGACTCTACATATACTCTCAGCTACCGCAACAAATCCCATCCAGGAGACTAGTTGTATTAGTTATGGTACTAATGATGGATGGCGCAACTAGCGGCTTCACCGCCGCTATAGAATGCCAGCGTGGTGTGGACCACCAGTCTCTGCGATCTGAGCGTTTTCCAAAGGCCCCAAAAAATAGTATCTGAAAGGTATAGACCCTGATAATTTCCCCCCCCCCCAGCCCCATTGGTTATTGAATTCTCCCTCCAGGCATCAGGGACATACTTAGTATCATAAAACCTTTTCCCCATCGGCCGGTATATGAATCTCAAGGTAGAGCTACCTTGGACTTGTCTTGGCTTGTCTTGTTCTTAGAAGACATCCTGACAAGACGAATAACACAAACGTTCTCCACACTTATTTACATTGAGACTAGCTTGGCAGCGTTTTACTGAAAACATCCCGCTATCGCTCTCCGTGAGCTTTAGCCGTACATACCAAGTTAGTGTGGCTGCTGCAACAAGGTTAGTAAACCCTTGCTGTTACTGGAATGTGGTCAGCGTGCTGAGCCATCCATGGACTGCCCGGGAACAGTTTGAAGAACGCCTAAAAACCAGCGAGGCTAATTAGAAGACGACAAAATACCTTGCCCTCGGCGATGCCATGATTTTTGATGCCCGACCCATAGATATCACTGAGCACAAGTTATCTGCTATAGCGGCCTTATAAACGACGGACCTTACGACCTACGCGACCATGAGGATTAAGAAAAAGGGCGCTATACTTATATATAATGGCCGTAAAACTTCTAAGGTTCGAATCGACTGGATTAGGTGGTTGCGATAATAAATGTTTCTTGTACTAACTGCCTAGCAGGCGAAACGTTCCCTGAGAAAGCGAGAATTTCAATGTCCAATTTCTCTCAGGCGAGGGCGTCTTGGGCATATCTCTAAAGCAAAACGCTTTGAATCGGTACTTAAGAATAACGACCAAATTTCGAGAGAAGGCTCTGAGAAAGATGATCATTGTATACGAGTCCGCGATTTATCTCCTTCACCAGAACCAGAATGTGACACCCAGCATCAATCGAAGGGCCAGAACGGGGATTCTCTTCCACGTATCAACCCGATCTCAGGTAAATTTTATATCGTTAACTGGGTGAAATCAGGCCAATATTTCGCCGGACTCTGTCTTCCTCTCGACGGTCTTGAATACATCATTGGGGAGTCTGCTGAGATGGCGGGCCTGCTCAGCGATGTACCATCCTGCTACCTATACGATAGCGGAAGCAAATCCTTTTCATTGAATCCAGACTATGAACGAAATGGGAGAAAGCGCTCTGAACGATATTTCGCTTTCGTTTTCTTCGATGGTCTAGAGTTTCCCAGTCAAAGTAGTTTGGCGTGGGTTCATATCGATCATTTTGAGGAGTGGGATAAGGAGAAAGCGAAGAAGATTGAGCACAGTCAACAAGCTATCAACTATATAAAAGAGGAAGCTAAGAGTCAGAATAGACAATATGGCTCTGACGATAAGATCCCGGACTCAGAGGCCAATAATGGTAAACGTTCTTGCTCACTGCGACTCACTCACATATGCTTATGCTACACAGGTCTATTCTTAGGGTTCCCAGTTCGCTTGCCTTCGAGAAATCTACAGCCTCGCTCTAATGAGGGAGATCTGGAAATTATGCTTAAGACGCAAGAAAAGCCAGAAGTCAGCATCGGGCAAGCAAAGCCAACTTCGCTGCAATACTCTAATGGAAAGGCAGGCAAAAGGCCAACTAGAGTCACGCCGCGACGAAATCTGCATTCCATGAGTCTCAGACATCACAGTACTATCCACGGCACTGAATCGCACTCACAAGTCGATCCCGAAAATGAAGACGTCGCGGATATTGACGAAGGTAAGCTATGGACTAGCCCCGCGGAGATGATCTCTAACCCATCCAGACACAGAAGATCAATATGGATCACAAAATATGAACGAAAGACACAAGGCTCATGGTAGATGCCAGTGTAAAGGAGGTTGTGATAGTGGTTGTTCCAATCTATACGCACTGATTTCATGTGACAACGAAACGTGCAACGTCAATAAATCGGCCTGTAAAAATCGCCAAACTCTAGAAGGAGAGGGTTGTCTTGCTAAGAGACTAACAGAGGCCTATGGAATGGAATTATATCTTGATGGCGATGATATTCAGGAGGGTGCTAAACTCGCGCGATACTCTGGATCACCCATCCCTGGTGACGATCTCCGTCGCCTCAGGAAGGAAACTGATGACCATATTATAAAGGTATGTACTTCGCTCCTCTCATGCACAATACTTTGACTTGATATAGGGCCACTACGTAGTACAGCGGAAATACAGCGACCTCTTTGTTGATGCAGAGCACGAGGATATTATAGCCAAATACGCGAACCACAGTTGCCAACCAAACTGTGAATTGCAGGAATGGCTAGGTAGCAGAGGCCCAATACTCTTTTTGGTTGCTTCCGAGCCCATAGAGAGAGGCGACCCCATAACGTTTAAGTATAACCCGAAGGAAGCTCCCACCTCCGTTCGTGTCCGGTTCAATGAACAAGTACATGACCAAGGCATTTGTTATTGTGCCTCCCCATCCTGCCAGTGGACACCTCCCGAGGCGGTTCAAGGGGTATTGGACTGGATTGAGAAGAAAGACCAATGCCCAAATCGTATGGAAGCAAACCCCCAGACCATTAGGATAACATTGCCCCGGAACCCAACACTTATACATTATACTCTAAATTCACGATTAAGCATCAAGGATCAACTTCTACATTTAAGGAGGCAGCTGGAAGATAAATTGTTAATCTTAGAGTAACAGAGGACAGAAAAAAAAACACTCTCTGCAATTGGATAATGATTGTGACGTAAAAGCTAAGTGATCAAGATCTTACCTCGATGGTCCTCCCGCATAAAGAACTTTGAGTTCATTATAAAGTATACAGTATAGATTCCCATCGAATATATTGAGTTGGTGGGACAGTGGTATATGCCCAGGAGTCAATACTGGATGCCAGCACCAACCAAAGACCGCTTATCAGGCATTGAATTCAAGGGTCGCGACTTGAAACAACAATATTCACACATCGAGCATCAAGCAATCGACAGTCCACCAGCCTCTAATCGAGCCAGTGCCCAAAATACTGCAGATGCATGAACGATACGCAGAGGGGCAACCAGGCTCAGCATCCGGTTGTTGATTTGAAATATCCTCGCTGTGATGTTCCCCTGCCGACCTTTCATATATTGGTATTGTTCAAGGTTTTCCGCCGCTCCGATGCGCATTCAATGCAATGGAGGTTTCAAGGATACAGACTCAGCCAGCTTTTGAATTCCAGTCATTCAAGCACGAAATCTGTACGGAGATGGAAGTAGCTGGCCGTTCTTGGTTTATCAACATTGTTTCCCCCAAATTCTTCGCCCTTCCGTGTGTCATAGCCCAGATGCCCCAGCCTCAATTCAGCCTTGACCATCTCCATTGTTCCCTATCGAGCTATGCTCTTGCGCCCTAGACAGAGCATGATACCGTCCAACGTTCTGCACTATGAAATTTGGATGCACAGGCTATAAAGATCGCATTGGGTGGGAGCCGTCTTGCCATCCATCTTTGTGGTCCTGGTCCTTCGCAGCTCCAACACACTCATGAACAAACGCTGGCGTACATAGTGGCCCTCTACGCGAGAGGTAAACTTTGAGCCGCGGTCATTCTCTTTGGAAGTCTATCTTATCATTTGTAGGCGTCGGTAGGATCGCATTTGGGGGCCATTCCAATGAAGCGGAAGTTTCTGGTGGGCTCTGCCCCCAACGATATCCTGCCGGCAGGCCAAAAAGGGGCATGGTATCAGCAATGACCTGTTGGCTTGGGTAATCCTTGGCAAGAATAAGGTACTGGATTGTATAAATAGACCCGTTCGCCAGTTTCAGACCTTGTTGGTGATTCTTGTATATAACGATGAGCATGCCAAGTACCAGCATAAGATAGCGGGCAACTTCATAATCGCATCTTCCTCTATTCGGCTAATTGTCCTTTTATCCACACTGGAAGACGAATATCCGAACCTGTCGCTACCATGCCTGTGAATGGCAAAAGTTGCTTTAATGTTCAGCTTCAGGCGGTTTCTGTTGAGTGGCGTGACCCCTGTGATGCGTGACTCCAACCTCATCTGTCCAGCTTCTTCATACCAGTGGCTCTTCCGGCTGGTCTTGTACCCCTTTCAAAATGCTAGTCGGGAGCCTACACAGTCGCGGATCTTGCTCGACGCTGACTTGCTCATGTAGCAGCATCACTGTGCTATACTTCCTCCAAGGCGCTTCAGCCTATAGCACATAAACCATATCAGCTTACCACATTACATGGAATAAAACTGATGAAGTTACCGCAAAAGGATGATTATCAGAATCCCAACAAAGTCACGAGCATTCTCAATCTGAACAACTATTTATTGAAGGTATACAGCGCCCCAGCCCTATAACTGAGACCTGTTTGTCCTGGCAGTCCCTCATGATCAGCCTATTGATGCAGAGAACTGCCGAGCCAGACGATACACAGGCGTTCAGGTCACCGTTGCGGACTACTCTCATGACTGTGCCTTTGGAGAGTGCCCCAGCGGAATGCATAGTGATTCTATTAGTGTTCGGTGCCGCCGTGTTGGACACCGCCACCAATAGCAGGTGATGGGATTGTCCCGTGCGAACGATCCCCTTACCCTCTTGAATTGGATTGAAAGTATCGTAGGCTATCGCTCTATAGGTCGAACCAGTGTAGCGTCAGACTTCCCAATCACCTGCCTAATAGCGAGAACGTGGTTCGCAGTTACTCCCCCGGCGCGACTTTTGTTTTATGATCTGGATGCTCCATTAAAGTTCCCTTATCAAACATAATAGAATCCTTTCTTCAATCAGCCCTCTTAAATACCTTCCACCTTAAAGGCAGCACCAGTAGCGCTCTCTATCGCCTCTTTCTCAGAAAACACCTTGGCGAAAGAGTCCAGATCTCTACGTCAGGAGCCTTTTTCAGCATCACTGCCAACAGTAGAAAGTTGCATTTGTGCTCGCACCCATGTCCAAATCCTGCCTTGAATTTCGTTCCTCAAGGCTTTTCTGGATAACCTGCACGCGCGCGCTGCGGTTTGTATCTCCTGCCTACCTACCTACTAAGGTATGCACTAACATAGACTTACTGCTCCACAAATAAGACTTTAGTGATCATGTGACTTCGCTGCTGTTTCGCGTTATATTTAATTAGCACCATCTCTCTCGTACCCCGCGACACGCAAGGGTTAAAGCGAGTGCTATTACCAACCATTCCCGATACCTCCTTGACATTTTTGATTTTTCGTCACTGGTACGGATCTTAATATTATTCGATCGCTCGACATACTTTTATTCTGTAACTTTCCCTGACCTGAATTCCTTATGAAAAACCTAACGGTCGTCCTCAAGGGTCTCCACCAAAGATACTGAAACTTTTGGTTATTCTTACAAGACTACACTTTCTCGAAACTGAATCTTGTTACGAAACTAGATGACTTGGTAGATATGTCAGCTTCGCAGTCCTCTTCATTTTCGACTCCAACATCACTGGACACAACGCCCTGCACTTTACGGGCGCCCATTGTCGCCGCGCGAAAAAGGCGTCCGCCGCGCATCTACCGACCCGCAGAGAACTCGCTCTACGACATCTTCCAGCAACACGCCGGCACATCGCTCTTTGTGCGACCCATTTGCTGGACAGATTTACACGCTCAGCTGCTCGGCGCGAGATGGGAGGAACTGCCGCCATGCGATACACCTCAACCGTCAGCGGCCCCAGGCACGCCACCATCGCGAGGACATTTGAGTCCATCGAACGCCATCATCAGCCTTAGCAACGCGCTCACGCAGATTCTCCTACCCGACCCATTGCATCCTATTCTATCCTCAAATGCTGTCAAGTCGGTTCTCAACACGCTGTGGCCTACACCTTTCAACAAGCCGCAGTATCTTCCCGAAGTCCATCTATACTTTGGCGGTCGCGTGTACCGTGATGCTGTACGCGCGCAGCTCATGTGGAATTACCCATCTGAGGAGGCAAAGTCTTCATACTCTTCATTCAAATCAGTTTCAACGCGACCTGCTGAAGCGTTCAACATCTCGACACAGTCCTCGCCAAACTACAGCCCCGCCAATCTACCCATGATCTGCTACATTGGCAAGACTCAATTGGCTTCAGTCCGAAACAACCTTTTTTGCGTCGCTTCTGGACCCGGGCGAACATGGAACGAGCCCGTGTTTCGCCTCCAGCAACTGCGAGCCCGTATCCTCGTGCCAGCGAATTCCGATCACGATGCCCATTTTGTGGGAGTCCTTCTAGAGATGGCGCAAAAGCACTTCTACCCTACCCCACCTATCAGTGGCAGACGCGACTCGCGCATTTCGCCAGGACAGGGCATTCCTCCAAGCCCTAATTTCCACGACATCAAGTTGAAGATTTTCACACACGACATCGATACATCCGAGTTTATTGTTTACACTGGCCACATCACAAAGGAGTTCTTGGAGAAGTTTCACGATCCCTTCAAGGCTCCAGCTGACGATGACGACGCTATTGTTTTTGGTCTGAAGATTGAATATACAAGGGTTCCAATCTGGCCAATTCTCGGACTCAGAGAGAGACTGGGTAAAGCTCTTGGCCAAGAGATTGTCGGAACGTTCGACCCAGATGAGATGGAGAAATGGGAGAAAGACCCCGAGAAGCCAACTGGCGAGAAGCGCAAGCAAGATGTCCTCACCGAGGTCGTCAGCAGTAGCTACGAGGGAGAGACCGAAGAAAAGCTAACCATTGTTTCAAAGAAACGGTGTCTAAAGAGGGTATAACTGTTGGTACGGTGATATGAACGCAAACTAAATGCGATTTATCATATGAAACGGATATGGAATGGATTATCTACGGTTCAATTTTGAGGGCGACAGGACTGAGTTGGTATGCAGAATGCATTTGGCAGGCTAAAGTGCCTTTAGGATATCATGGAGACTCACTCTGAATTACAGCCACGCATGACAGGGGCAACGGCGCAGACTTTTCCGGGAGGTAGGTTATGTACCACAGTGTTTTGCGTCTGAGATAAAAGGTTGGCGAGGGAGTCAACATATTTGATGCCCCTCTCTTGGTAGGGGCAAAGATTCTGAGCAAGAGCCATCAGCAGTGCCGAAGAAAGGTCTAAATGAGTGGATACAACACCTAGTTAAAGCAGGTGATGGAATCGAAAGAATTCAACCCTAAAGGATTACATTGCCAACATGGTTCAGTTTGAAAAGGTACGAGAAATTACTAATTATACAGTTACGCTTATTATGGCTCTGTGACCAATACTCGAATTACATGGTAATTATGAACTTGTTATATAAATCTCAATGAGTCTGAATGCTACTATTCTTATACGGAGGCAGTGATTTCGAGTCCGCTGTGTCTGTCCGTTTCCCTAAGGTCTAGAGCCTCTAGATGACTGGCGGCATTGATCAAGAGATTCAAACGATCCTGGAAATGAATTCTGGCTGAAATTGCTTTATCATACGTTGCTTGCGCCGTAACAACACATATGAGGACGACAAGCGGCGAGGAGAGTACGAAACCATCAGCCCCCTGCAAAGTCTAAAATGCATTAACGATGCGTCTAAACTTACAGGACGTAAAGCCAGCAATAATGTGTTTTATGTAGAATAGCTTGTGCTATCAAAGTTGACCCCTGACCCTGAATCCTTTACCTCTCTTGTTTGGTAGTTACTTGGGAAAATAAGACTGGCTGTTCAATAGTGAATCTCTTATCTCAATTCACATCACTAAACGCATAAATCCGCCAATATCACCATTAACGGTGGAGATGATTCACAGCACGGAGGTTTCGATTTCGTTCAACACACAGAGAGATCGGCTGTAGTATTTCACTACAAGTCCATAAAAACCTCATGACTAACCGGGACTCAATCAGTCCATCCGTGCCAATATGTTAAGAGTGGAGAAGGCTAGTCACACTTTGATAATCAGGCTTCAGTTTCCTGTTAATGTGATTCCCTAAAGATACGCCAAACTACTACAGCGATGCAGGCGTATATCGACTTGGTCTTGCAGTAAGCATACGAGGATATGGAAGTGTGGGAAAGGCTGACACTCACGCCGCACAAGACGTAAAGGAGACTCCCAGCGTAGAATGGCGTTTTGTCGTCTATGCTCCATTGGTAAATTGGGTAGGTAATCGTAATACCGATTAATAACCCCACACTTTCGAATAGTGCGACAGACATCAGGACAAGTCCTACCGCAGAGCTCGAGAGACGGTTGGCTGCGAAGCAAAGCAGACTGAGGTTTGATGATACACCAAACGTATTAATAATAAGGCCTTCATTATTGTTAAGAACATTATTCAATAAGTCTAGAAAACACGAACCAATAGTAATGGCAAGGGATGAGTGTGATAGGCCGATCACGATTGCACCCAATGCCATCAAGATCACACTGCATTTACCAATAGTTAAATTGATACTGTTAGAGAATTGCCCTGTATACCCTTTGATGAAAATGAGACAGGGTAAGAGGACACCGAAGATGACCATGCTTATCTCGCTTCTAAGAAGCCACAGATTGTCGGCCTTGATTGCGCGGTAAGTTGGTGATTGGAGACAATATATTAAGAGAGTAATATACGTACCTCTGTAGGGCCCAAACTGCATCTTTGCTGTGCGTACGTTGCAAAAAGGGGCCGAGATGCTTGAGGAATAGCGATAAAGAAAGAGATCCGAGAGGTAAACACTAGAAGTTTATGTCTCCCGGGCGCCTTAAGGCCCAGGCACATCGTCAGGAGCTCCACAAGAGATGCGGCTCCATCATCAGAATACCGACTCCTGGAAAACAAGGGATGAGTGACAGAACCAGACTCGTCTTGGCCCAGCTCAAGTGAACCATTATCTGTGCCGTCGAGGAACATAGCGATAACAGCTGCAGTAAGAATCGGAAGTGCAAACCAGGGAGATTCTCTATTGGCCAGAATGGGGCCGAGAACCTGGGCCAGAACAGTAATGAAACCTGTTATATAATAGTACATTGTTCTAGGATATGGTTAGTATTTTGTGATGATGCTATAGAGAACGAGAAGAGACGATACCGAGCGCAGGAAGTGTTCCGACTATGGATCACAGCAAGAGTGAGGAACTTTGAAGCGTGAGAACCTCCGCCTAAGAAGCTCACTAGTGGTCCAAGCAGAGCATTCAGGTGCGTCCAAGTAGGCAGAAGCCATGCTGTGTTTGTCAGAAATGAGAGTAGGAAGAACAGTACGGCAACGGCCTTACAGCTCACATGTGTGGCAATAGTTACAAGAAGAATGCTTCCCACATTCACTCTGATGGCCCTAACGTACGACAGTTTGACTAGATAGGAGCGGAGTATATATGCGCTTGATATATCTAGCCCTTTATTTAGAACTGGTGGCTAAGGCTAGGGAAAGGAAATATAGAATTGCGCAGGGTATGAAGGGCTGAACATACTGGTTACATGTGTCATGATCACTCTTGCAGTGCCAGCATCCCAAAATCCAGGTCGCCAGTGCGGATTACGTGCTGATACCATCTTGTCGTTGTTGAAATCGACCAAACTTAGTAGAAAGAACAGCATGAAAGCCAGTAAGGCCATAGTGATGATATTGGCAGGTGACTAAGAGAGGAAAGGAATTATGTTGTCTTTTCACTCTTTGCAGGTTATGCCCAATACCTAAGCGGGAAAATTTCATACGTGGGTGTTCAGGGTGAGCTTGAGTATTGAGGGGATGAAGGCTCAATCTCTCTTCGCTTATGCTGAGGACCCTGTCACAGCCAATACCAACACAACGTCAGAGCAACATGGATCGTTTGGCGGCAAATCAGGCAGCTGACCCACGCTGGCTACGTCAGCGGCGGTCTTCTCTCATCAGCCTTATTATCTCCAAGGTTAGTCATTCAGCACTGGTTGTAATATTTCGACCCCAAAACAGACTCTTAGGTTTTATGACAAGATCAGCACATGTGGTTAGTGTCGCATCATATCAGGGCTACAGAATAAACTTGAAAACTTGATATATCTTTTATCTTTTATTATAAGTTCTTATAGTTGTTGGATTTAGACTTAGGAATATCCGAAGATAACTGAAGTATGCCCTCAGTGCGGCTACTATAGAGGAACTTTCAGTTGCCGTATTCACATATATATGAGCCATACTATCCAGCCTTAATATCCATCAACGGATCATGCATATTATCATCTTTAGATGACTACCACCAATGTTGGGGTCTACTCTGTGTGTCAGTTGGCACCGTTGCGGAGAGCATATACCCATGCTAGCGTTAATTAGCGCTATCTCTATTTTTAAATTGGACGGAAAAGGAATAAGCCCGGTCTGACTGCTAAAAGTGGGCCCTACTTGAGGGAAGGGACGGCGCAATCACGGAAGTAATAAGCATCTGTCTTTCCCTATGTAACCGCTTTCTGCTGATTGCGACTGTTTTTCTATCCGCCTTGCAAGCGAATCTTTAACCGAAGAATGGCGGCGTCGGCAAGCACGCCTACTGGCAAGGTATCAAAGGCGAAAAAAGGGAGGCCAGTCCATGTTTGTAGCGAATGCCAAAAGGTAAATTCTTCTGATCGAACTATGGGATGTAATTGATCACAAACACAATCAGGTATATACTCGAGCTGAACATCTGAGGTACAACTCACAGAGATATAGTAGAGATTGAGAGCTTACAAGCTGGCAGGCGGCATCAGACTTCACACCAAGAGCCTCAGTTCGAATGTCCAGTATGTCAAAGGCGTTTCCATCGCAAGGACCTACTGGAAAGACACTACAAGCGGTCAGTCACACCGACTCCATGATATGACAGTTCTGACAGTAGGTTCGTGGCAGACATGGGGAAGACACAAACGACCAGGCTGCTGCAGGTCAGACGAGTTGAATTTGAAATTTAAAGGGAGCCTACTATAACTTAAGTGGTGGAGTTTTGGTTCGGGGTGTTTCGTTTGTGGCACTATTTCTATAAGATCTTACAACTCTCCTGTCAAGGCAGAACTGTACCCCTGGATCTCTGTTTTCGCCCTGGACGCCAGCTTCACCCGCCAGATTGGGTGGTGGGTTATGTGAGACCACCTATCCTCAGCTAAGTCGAGGGGTGAGACCTGATAGGTTCTGCGGCCGGAATATGTAGGCAAGGGTAAGTCCGAAAATCTCATTCACTCGGTTCGGGCCAAAGCACTTTTCAACGTCCAGGTGCCCTTATCCCCGTGATTCACCTGTGTTTGCGGCCTAAAGGTTAACCTTATAGGTCGAATTCATCCCCATAGTCCCCGTGATTCCACGGGTGGTATGGCAAGCCTGGCTCCTTCATCAACGGGCTCATGTTAGCCGGAGCGTTCTTTATCAGCCAGCTCTCTCTATTCAACATTTAAGGAGATACCCTTATAATGAAGCTTTACAGTGGCCCATGTTGAAAACTAATGCGCGCTAGCTAGTTTTGGTAGCAGACATATTGCCCGCCCTGTACAATGCCCATCTTAAGCAGCGCCCATCCTGGGCAGTGCCCATCTCGAGCGGCACCCATCCTGGGCAGTGCCCATCTGCTATAGCACTAATAGTACGTACCTCTATTTGCTGTTGCTCCCACACAAGTCAAGGAAAAGCACTCCCCTTTCCACGTATGCTAGGTTGCAGTTTCGACCAGAGAACCGTAAGGAAGAGTCAAGTATTAAACCCCCGAGCAAGTGCTGGGGTTCAACTGCCAATCAACGATGACGAGCCTCAGAAGTACATAAATCCAAAAGCTTTCCAGATAACTTCATTGCACTTTGTCTGTCACATTCGTTGCCGGCGTTGGCCTCCCCAAACTGCACACCAATTACACATTCTGCTTGAACTACAGTGTCGGGTTTGCTTGTACCTACCGAGCACAATGGAGGAGGGTAATTTGCAAGAAAGAACCGTGGTAAGTTTCGCTGATTGTACGGTCTGTCTGACAAGTGGCTTACTGTTGCCAGGAGCTTGACCCTCATCCGATGCGACTACATGACCTTTTGGATCTTCCAACAAACGACGACACTTGGCACGCCCTCATCATCCGTTGGGATGACAAAAGGTTCAGTCTTTTTCCATGGGAGGTGCCTTCTGTTCACCTGGTGGGGTCGCTTGCCAATGGTGATTATGTCGTCGTTGTTACCTCGTGCATTTATCAACGATTCCACAACGCATACAGACAGTACATCTTGCGTCAAGTTGAAACCGGACAAGACGTCTTCTTCGAAATTTTAAAGCCAAACAATGGCAAGATAGCAGAATACGGCCTAGAGGCAGCGGAAAGGAAGACCCGGTCTGATGTCCTTAGGAGGGCCGTCCAAGGCGTAACCAGTCCTGGAGGTCTCGCACTTTATCGGTATTACAAGGAAATCATCCACGACAATTCCGACATACTGCCACTTGAGTGGGCACTGTTAGGTTATGACCTACGAGTGAGTGCATGGTTTGCAGAATTGTTTCACTGCTAATACCGCACAGTTGTCAGGATCCGAGGTCCGCGACAAGTTTGTGTTGTCATCTCTCCTTCTTGACCTACATTTCGTGCAAGATCTGGAAAGCCACGACGTATCTCAACTTGTCGAGAGGAAACGACAAGATGGATGGGGAAGCTACTTGTTGATGAAGGAATCCTTGGCCATTTCGAAAGTAGTCGAGAATGCCGATGAAGAGATGCACGAACTATTACTGGTCCGTGGACTACTGGAATTTGCCGGTCACAAGACAAGTGTTCGCTTTTACCAGCACGACCAAGAGTGTGCCACTTACGATAGTTGTATCATACTCGGTCGGGCCCTTCGCCGTGTTTTCGAACCCAAGCAAGAAAGCAAGTTCGAAAGCTCAGGCAGCATGCCTGCGAGAATGGAGATCCCTAGGCTCTTAGGTGCATACGAAGTGCAAGAGCGCCTTAACCGGTCGGGATACTCCGAAATCGACATTTCGCAGATGTGTGCCAACCTCGCAGTTTTCCTGCCAATTGGAATTCCTGTTCCCTACCATGAGACTTTGCCAGCGACATTAGTCAATAGGCTCAAGCGAAAAGTAGTGATGAATGCCATACGCGCGATGTAAGATCACCTTCTCTGCCCCATCAAACTTGAGACTAAATCAGAGCAGTAGCGATACATGTATCCTTCATCTTCCGGCATTGTTGCGGAAGGAGCACCATGCAAGGTCATTCCTTCTCTATCTTGTCAGGAATGGACTAGAAACAGAAGTTACCAAGACATGGATGAATTCCACAGAGGGCCAGAGCATATACGACCAGACCTTGGCAAGCATGCGAGAGCAAGCACAGTCATTAGAGGAGTTTATATTATGCCTGAATACCTTGATCGCTTATCTTCACCTTCTAGATCCACCTGAGCCGGCCGTATCACTTGTCTACGCTTGCCACCTTTGCGACTTCTCTTATCTTCTACACGGCGGCACACAAATCAATCGGCGAAGTGTACTAGAGGCGGTAGCAGGCTCTGTCCAAAAGGTGTTGGCCGGTTTTCCAGCTGATATTGCCCAGATTCTTATGCCTATGAACAGACCACCGCCTGTACAGTGGTGCGATGGAATTATTCAGTGGTATTTGCAACGTCGGGCAGCTGAGGTAATGACGCATGATGAAGCGTAACAAAGAACTTGTTCTTCCGTTGCAACGCTATGAGTATTTTCTGTTAGATTCTAACGAGTTATCAACAAAAGCCTGCTACATATCCTGTAGTGATGGTGCTTTTAAGCAATTAATATAAGTAGGAATGCATTTCCATCAAACCACCCAAGCAGTGTAGGCGTCCACGAACGCATTCACAGACTTCATGATGTATTATGTAACCCTCGTCTAGCTTTTTGGCAAGGCTGTCTCACCTGATGAGCTGACATCGCGAATTCCTTAATACCCTCTAGTTCTGGCTCATTATGGATTGTGATATCAAGAAGGATATATGGCTACCATACACTGTCGATCGTTTCCTTCACACCCCCTCTTAGCTCATCAATAGGGCAGAGAACTCTAGGTACCAAAATGGCAGTGTGTCTAGTGGTACAGCGCTGTTACTACGTGTGCTAGCAGCAAAACGTCCTAGGGGCATCCTCAAGTATAGAATGATCAGGCAACCGGTGACATTGAAGGGAATCATGCATGCCGCTACTAGTCGCCCATATTAGACACTGCACTAGATCTGATCTATCTGCTATGTGACCGGATGTTCCAACTTGCACAATGAAATCTATGAAGCCCAGGCAGGAACATCTGCTGGAGGTGCTAGCCTTGTCATCGCGGTTATGGGCGATTGATTGATAGTTTAAAGCTTATGATATCTCAACGAGACATATCAAGCCAAGACACTGAAAATTACCAATTGACTTCAGGTTTCCAAGGGCACTATGCACATAGGCTCAACAAAGAAGAGTCTCCCAATTAAAGTCAGAATAATATGCTTTTGTGATGACTTAATCAGTAACTTTATTGGCAGCTGCTGGACTATAAGAAGCCGGCCTGATCCCTCAGTGATAGAAGCAGAAGAAATTCTCACACAAAAAAACCACAAACCATAAACCACAAGAATGACTCTTCTCAACGGAAGGATTGCTTTCCAAATGTCTCGTTGAGATGTCATAAGCTTTAACTATCAATCAGCGGTTATGGGCGATAACGTTTGGACTAGATCATTTACACATTCGCACACGGGCTAATCATCGCTACCGGAGGGCACGGGAGCGCATATATCTGAATGGCTTATTGTTTAAAACCTTCCGAGTGTCAAAAGATATATATATTCTTGGTTATAATAGAAAATACAGAAAAATTTCGCCTTGACTGATAAGAGTTGTTATCAATGTCTCCGTGTCCTGCGTGCCTTGGCCAAAAGTCAAAACCTAGGCTCTCCCAATGGGATGTCTTCTGCGTTTCTCGTTGCGTCCTTTGCATTTATATTTTTCAAAGTAGTTCTTGCTTGAGCGGACTCTGGTCGATGTCAGCAAGTATTCCATTGTCCAAGGCTACTACAGAATCAAGCATGTTTGCCATTGGGATACTGCAGACATATGATATCAAGAATGTCAGTTGAAGCCCTGTGATGCGGCAAGACTGCAAGCACGTACTAGGGAGCTCAGGGGATTACTTATCGCCCACTCATTGGACAGATCTCTATAGTTCTTATACTCAATCAATAATCATGCATTGAGTCCCAAATTTGTCAGCGTCAGCTCTGGATCTCGACAGGGCATCGAAGTAACTATTATTTATCCCAAGGCTAGAGTGCATGGTGGTATCGATCCTCAGGTCGTTGAGTCGTCTGAAAAGGGTCTTCACGCGATCATCGAAAGCATCCGTACTTTCCAGACTAGTAGATAGGAGGTCAATCATCATCAACGTTTTTGGCACAGCTCGCGCGTAAGTCTTGTATCTTTAGCTGGTGCCTCTGAAACTGGCCATGTACTAAGCAGTGGGTAACCTGTTGATCCTCCAGCTGCATTCCGTGACCCAATCCTTCGCACATACGTAGATGAATAACTACTCCGAACACTGTTCCACAAGATGGTCCAGCTTTTGCGACAGTCTGTAACGGTAGTGGGTACATTTTGAATTAACATGCGCATCCTTGAAGGCCTACAGAGAGATCCTTATAGCTACAATCTTTTGATCAAGTCACGCTTCACGAAGGTCACGCGCGGACTCAGCCACTAGATTCAATGGAATTATCTCACGACCAGCAACACTCGAAAACACGTTCAGCCATTATTCTGTCGCCCGTAGTTGACTTTCCACTCCTTCTAAAGTCGGGTCGGGCATCGTTAGGGCTCTCAGTTGACGCGATCCTTTGTCTACGATATTATATGGCAATGGCGGGAAGAAGTCCGCCAGTATTCCTTTGGCTTGCTCTTTATGGCTCATTGTTGCCGCTCCATCTGCATTGACAAGTTGCGGTACAATTCCGAAAATTGCGTCATCCCCAGACCTCATGTGCTTGACTGTTTTTCCAACACTTTCGTTATCTGCCAGAGACTTCTTCCAGTATGTATTATTCCGTTATTGGACAGCATTGTGATACCGGTTTGCTGCAGCCTTTGCCGTATTTTCGAGATCTTCAGTATTTCGCCTTATTTTCGTCTTTATTGTATTCTTCCTTGGGTGGAAGACTTTTGATAAGCTGTTCTTATGAGCTGAGCTTGTGGTTGGGAATATGTTAGTGAATGTGCACACTACGGAGAGAGTTGTTTGCCGAGCGGATAAGCCCCATGGAACCGCGATTGGTTGAATACATCATAGATATGATATGCAGGCTCTGTTGCTCCAGCAAAGATGGTAGAATAGGCAACTTGCGGTCAAATGTATGGCAAAGCAGGAATATCATCCTACTCGGCGGGCGAGTTCTGCACGTGCTGATATAGAGGCTGCTCTGATGAAGCGGTTCCCTCATTCGTGGCATAGGCGGGGAGTGTCTTGGAGAGGGTTTCCCCAGAAAAGAAAGGCGTTTTGTCTAATGCCAGGTCTGATTATTGGTAGCATCTATCACCTTGGATAGGAGTGGTAGACAGACCCCTTCATAAGTCGAGACAATCACTTGATGACGGCTTACCCTTTGATATCGGCTTATTACCGGCGCTCAGGTACCAGACAAAAGAATGAAAGAGTTTGCATGGGCTGAAATCAAGCGTGCCTTGGCCCTACAGACAGAAAGACCTTCAGCACATCGCGAATCAAATACAAGACACCATTGAGCTGTCAATGTTTGGAAAGATATCGGTATCCCCTTGAGCCCCCGAAGCCTTGCGGGTCCCACCGACGTGACCGCCAACCAGTACGGAGTAAATTTACTTTAATTAGCTAAGCGATTTGCAAAGAAGTGTATCTTGGATTTTAGCGTGGACCCATAAGCCCTCGGGGGCTCTGGGAGTCAGGCCCTCTAATCCCTTGCTTAGGTCTTGCCGGTAAATTCAGATATGGTGAATCTAGCCCGAGGCAGACTGTTTGCCTTTCTGGCTCCTGAGAAATGAGGCAATCGTTGGAAGCTTGCATACGAGGCGTGGTTCATGCCATGCCAATCTTAAAAATATTGGTGGCTGATAGAGGACGAGCTCTAGGTAGAAGCTCAGACCCCGGATCCAACATAAATCTTTAAATCCCCAATTTATTAGTTATACTGCGGTGCGTTAAAAAACAAAACTTCGACTATTCTCCTTTTAATTCGTTCACCCGGCAATATCGAAACCCAAGAGCCCTTTCTTTTAACTGCGACCTTGGTTTTTACGGCCCATGAGCTGAAGTTGATTACCATCAGTGTCACCAATAGCTCGTATCGACTCAAATGTTCGCTGAAGTCTCTGTCACTTCAAGACCTATTATGCCATTTCTTGGATCCGAAAATGGATGCCATTAAGTTCTGCCGTTTCTCCTTCAAGCTGAATAAGGGATTAAACAGCCTTGAAGGTGTTGCATATGTGTTCGATGACGGGAAGATTGTTTGCCCTCCTCAGCCTTCTCCTGTGATTACATGGCTTGCCTTTTGGAACTTTTGGCCGTTCGCCCCTGGCGAAAATAACAAAATTCAGAGCAAGTTTGTAAAAGGCTTCGAAATGTAGGTGCTGGGAACTCTCATATCAGACACTCCCTAACATCTCTGTAGTTCACTTGACTTCGACAAACCACGGCAATCAAAGAAGCAAATGGACTGTAGACTCATTGATACTTGCATTCTAGCCGAGCTCAGTGTCAGGAGCGCGACACAGGATACCGAACCACAGATTGGCAAGAGGGAGGATGAGACAAGCAAAGGCACAATCCTGTCTTCAGGTACCAGGCTAAGCGCCACTTTCAATAGTAACGATTTAGTTGAGGAATCGGTACCAGTCCTCTCTTTCCCGCACCGGCTGAAACCCAATGCTTCGCCTGTGGAACCTCTCGAAGGGTAAGTGATACGGCTAGCACTACCAAAGGAGTTCAACAGGTAACATATTCCAGGACAGAGTCTTTGACTCACTCCGAGGTCATTTCAATCTGCCCAGGCATTTACAGTGCATCCGGCAGTCTTATAAAAATGGCCAAGAATATACGACTGCAGATTCTTGACCAAAATCCAAAACAAGTGCCTAATACACCACTGTTCGAATTTCAATGGACTAATGATCAGAGCGAATTGGCGAAACAGCTTTTTGAACACCTTGTAAGTTCTTGTATGACACGATGATTGAACCAGGCTAACCTGCTTTACAGATCCAACAAGGTACTTTACCTAGTCGACCGTATAAAATGGCCATAGCAATGTATCGGCAAAAGTGCGGGCATGTTACAGTTCCTCCAGGCCAGGTCAGCATCATTTTACCCTGCGTACTAATGCGAGAAGACTCTACGGTATCAATGTCCTTCCTAAATAATAAAGCAGAGGGAAAGAAATGGAGCAACAGGGAAGTATTCATTCTTAACGAAGACGACTGGCTGTCGACTTGCAACGACTTATATTACCTTGCAATACATGTCCCGATCTAGTCTACTTGATCGGGCATCGGTGTGGGACAGCATTAGTGTTTCTGATGATGTTGAGTTGGAGAGCTACGATGGTGGACTGGGACAGCCATTTTATCCCCGGGGGAATGTATTTAGAGTTCTCTTTATGCGTCAGATGTAATCGTCATCAGATAGGCTTGTAAAGCTTATCTTGGGCAATTGTGTTGGGTAGCTGGTATACTGCCCGGACCGACTTCAATTAGAGTGTTATTTTGAGTTGATAGTCCCCACAGCTGATGGTTCTCATCACGCGCCTTACACACGTGGGACAGCATTGATCAAAAATCTATAGATTGCTCATGTAGCTCCTATACTTGCATTGATGTAGAGCTCTAGAGGCCACCTTAAGTTCTATAGAAACTACCCTGAGGGATGTGTAGTAAAGCAGAGGTTCCCTGCCTATACTGTGACAAGGATGGCCTCAGGCTACGGTTCGATATCGCAGCTACATAGGCATGATGAGGTTTACCAGCAGCGGAAAACCATTATCGATCAATTCTGAAAACGCGAGATTGGCGCCCAAAGAGTGAATATAATATATATTTGTTTATTATTTAAGCCCTGAAGAGGCGACGCCATGCGTCCCATTGGCAAAGCACTCCAGTCCCAGGCTTGCACGATAGCTTTCAAGGGTAGCAGCTATTCCTGCATATCTCTTACGATTGACTAATAATGATGCAAGGCACAATTCTCTTTGTATATGGTTCTGGTAAAAGTTATCCCTAGATCATTTCGGATTGTAGCGATGCATAGCGGGAGAGGATCATCGGACGAGAGTATGTTGGGTTATGCTGTCGGGATAAAAGGGCACCAACGGTTCCAATGGGAGGGTATCGTCCACTTTATGTAGAGAAAATACGGAATTCATTGTAGATAAGTTGAGAATGGGGTTTTGAGGGCGGTTGAACTGAGATCTTGGGTATACAGAGATGTATGGAGATATTAGGGCGATGCTGATGAAGAAAGAGGTTGGAGGAGAGTTGGAAACGGGGACGACGACCCTTAAATACTTTGTTAGGCAAGGGGACCTCACTAACAACAGGAGAGAGAGTATCAGTCTCCTGGTCTTTGGCATGGTCAGCTCAAATGTATTTCATCAATTGAAAGTGAATGAACCAATGATATCAGACCATGTTGAGAATGTCCGCATTAAAACATACGGGCTGGATGTCAACGGTAGTGCAAGGTCAGGAATGAGTTTATTTAAACATAGAGCGCTTGTGATTGTATAAACAGAGAGCTTGCCAGTCCAGAGACATGCCCGATAACACCAGAGCGACACTCCTATTGGAAATACTCGATTCCTCAAGGCCGTCAACCTGGTCAATCACATTCAGCCTACTATCCTAGTCTATTTGAGGGCCTGGAGCGTATTCAGTCCTTAATTCATTGGTTAGATGAAGTGATAGGCGGCCTGTGAGGAAATTGTACGGCAGGCACCGTCCCTTTCCAGCGTCAGGTGTGTATGCCTACCCATGGTCGATTTAACTTTTGGACTCAGCCTTTTATATAGGAGAAGGTTCTGAGTTCAAGACCCCGGGTTGTAGGTTAGAGATGCCTTCAATATGTGAGGGCGATGGGAAAAAGATATGGCATGGTAAATTGAAGAAGCGGGTAACAGTTTCTTCATAGTAGTACAGACCTGACTATATACACTCAGCACCATTCGCCAATACCGACTCTAAATCAACACAGAAAATAACTTTGCAGCCGAACACTTTGAGACTTGGGGGACTAAGAGCCGATGGCAGCGTCGGAAACTTTGACTACCTTATTGTCGGCTCCAGCCTTAAGGAACTTTCTCTCAGACGTCATCATGATAAGTCCCCAGACACTGGAGCCAAAATCCCCCTATTACGCCATCGCTCTCCAAGGCATTCCTACTCGACACCTTCAAACGCCAGCAAATTGAGAAGTCGCCATCGTTGGGAACTTACGTGGCTTTGCCGGCAACGGAGAGCGGGCCAGCTAGCCGCAAAAGGCCGACAGGGTAGTACAGGTAACTTCTGCCGGTGGTGGTATTCCCTGCCGGGCCCTCAGCCATATAGTACTCGTGGTGGATCGAAACAATGAGCATTATCAGGGTCATGAAGTGTGTTCCCTACACTGATGCCCAGGTACGACATAGACTCTACAGCCAAGTATGTGAGTGGTATCAGGATAACCTTTGGGTAGGATAATATCCATACCGTCATTGAGGCGATGTCTAGTGTCCCCTATGGTTTCGGGCAGTATATAAGCTTCGGTCTGTGAAGAGTATCGAGAGTTATGAGACTGGAGAATCAACGCTCGTGCTCACGCAGACGGGGATATAAACAGCTATCTTTGGCTGCAGAGCCACGTCTTGGGTAATGCCGTACTAATTCATATCTCAGCGAGACATACTAATCCAACACATATATGAGGAGCGCCACCAGATGGGATGGCTATGTCTAAGTCGTGAGCTAGAAGTGTTATTTGCCGCTGAGACCTGTGACTGAGAGCTTAAATCAGCCAAAACAACTTTGATTCAATGCTACGAAGACTATTTGTGTAAAATAATCAACTGGCCCATTGTAGGTAGAGGGCAAGTCCGCGGTGAGTATTACTACTCTTCCTGTCGGTGTCGACGCCAGATAAGAGAAGATGGAGTGTTTTACATACAGCCTTGATCAACGTCCTGACGTTATCTTTGAGACATATTGCTAATATAAAAGAAGGGAAAGTGTTCACATATGGTACGACAGTTGGCTGCTCAGTATTGAGACAGAAGGTGCAGAACTGTGATGTATAGAAATGAATTCGTGGGTATTACTGAGGCATTTAGAGTTCGGGAGATGGGGTCTCTGTGTTGCTGGACGTGCTGCGACTGGGTTTGGCTTACTTTTGCTCACGAACTGTGCTTGTTGTGATTGATGTCTGCGCTTGCTCATGAGCTGGGCTTGTTGTGACCACGTTGTTTGTGCTTGCTCGTAAGCTGGGATTGCTGTGAATGTGTTATTACGACAGTAATGTTCTTGTTTGCCTGTGAACTGAGCTTGTTGTGACTATGTTGATTGTGGTTGCCTGTGAGCTAGGCTTGTCGAGATTGATTGCAGCCCTGTGTACGTCCAATCCCATGCTTGATGTTTTCTCAATTGACCAACTTCGTGCCTCAGTCTCAACGCTCTCCGTCCCTTGACCAATCGCTTGACTGAGCTCTTTGCCGAGCATCGGGGTCAGGGAGGTGAACTCATCGTCGACCTCCACCACGTACGGACAGTTCCATCTCCACCGCGATGGGTCTAGCGCTCCACCTTCCCAATTGACCTGCCACTCTAGCTGCATTCTCACCTTCATCCCTATTCATCGATCATGGATGCCATGCCGCGTTGCTCATCACCAGACAGGATGTGATACTTTGAGAGCGCAGTTGCGCCAAAGTCATGATCATTATCTTCTACCTACGCCGGGGACGGCCCAGACGTCCATTTCCGCTTCCATTTCCGCTTCCATTGCCGTACCAAGAACACCAAATGGCAAACGGGTAAGCCACCACCGTATCCCCAAAGACAGAGGCCTGCCGCCATTCATCATCCTCCGTCGGAGGAGATGGCGAATGTGGTCTCCCTCCCACTTGCTGTCGCCCTTGGGCTTCGTGGCGGTCTTCACGACATCATCCATCTCGGCCTCGCCATCCAGCAACTCACGGGAATGACTTTCCACTCGAGCTCATGAATACCGATCAAACTGGTCTGATCTGTAGGTCTCACAACAGAGGTACGCGGGGTTTGCTTCACGCTGAATGTTAGGGTTGAGTGTCTGGATGTCGATCTCGTGATGTGTTCGGTGTTCGAGGAAACCGGTGTCGGAGGGGCAGTTTCGGAGACGGGTGCCATCGGTCTCGTTCTCTGGGCCATCTCGACTGGTATCGCGAAGTATTGCAGGTTCGCATGCCGCGCAAGCATGGCAGTCAACTTCTTAGTACTCTCCAGGCATATAGCGCACACACTTTACGGTACGTGACTGTCCCAGACTCCACCGCCGGCTGACATCACAGCTCTGCAGTTGTCGGCCGCATCATCCATGGGCTTGATGAAGGCTGCTAGAGCCTCATGTCCCAACAGCTGCGAGGCCTCGGGCCTTGGTAGTGGCAAAGTCGCCTAAGCGCTGGACCTTGATCCAACAGGGGATTCTTGCATTATAAACTGGCCGAGTTCGTTCGTTCGTATCTGCGAATACACGTACGCGATGTGCCGCTTGTCCGGGTTGTCCTTGAACTTCTTGGAAGACGTCTTGTGAATGACATGCTTGTCCTCTCGCCTTCGATCGAGCGTGCTGCAGTCTTTTCTCTCGCCCAGCGGGGATCCGGGGCAGTCGGATAGCCCTTGGTTGTTGAACTCGGGGTTCTCGTAGTAACGCTTGATGGTCGTTGTCATCATGGCTCCCATGTCTTCAATCTCGATCCGGAAGGGCCCTCTCTGTTGTGCCATGTCAGTTTGTGCAGCAGCATTGCGTGTAATCAGCAGGGGACATACGGCTGGTCGCCAAACTTAGCGCTGCTCTTCAGGATCTTCGCTGTCACTCTATGCCACCTGCTGATAATCGCGCGTCCTGATGATGCATGCTGTACAGGATCTCGGCAGCGGGGTATCCCGGGAAGGGCTTGGTGTCGGACTTGGTCACCATGCTGAACGCGCCGATGCAGAAGGACTATCGGGATTATAATAGATAAAGTCGGAAGAAAGAGTAAAGGTGTGCTTGGTCGATGCGTCGCGCGCGCGCGTTCCATTGCAAAGAGGAATGAGCTTCGTTGTGATTGAGTGAGGACGGGTTGCGGGGGTCTGCTGATGTCATCCAAAATTTGCTGCGATACATTTTTGATGAGTAATGCAGACTCTCAAGCGAGCCGGGATCTGAAACAGACGGGAGTTATAACTATACGCCTGCTAGGAAGAGCAAAACTGCAGCTCTACGTTGATCACGGTCTCAGTATATCAGTCGCTACCTTATGTGGGTAAGTGTTGGGGAGATGGGCAGCTAGTGGTGTACTGGGTTTGTCTTTTGCTAACTACGGGATGAATAGAACCATCGGCCCAAATGTCCCGGCCGTGTTCAACGTGATCCCAACACTTAGCTTCCACCTCTTCGTCATCCTTCGCTGCTGTCGCCTCCAGGCTCAACAGTGATCTCGTCCTCGCTCTCGTCCTCGCTCTAGTCCACGGCATCGTGCTCCTCCGCGTTCCACACAGCCTCCTCCTCGACCGTCTCGAGGCTCTTGTAGACTACAACCCGAGCGAATGTATTATCGGTCTTCCTGGTGTTGCAAGATTTGAGTTCTTCGGGGATTGCTAGCTTGTGCTCGATGGGGTATTGCAAGAGTTCTTCGGGGTGCGATAATGGCCGAATGTCTGATTGAGGCTTTGAAGAGGCTCGCGGTTCACTGTGGTGGCTCGAGACATCTCGATCGAACGCGCTTGGGTTCATTGTGCTGACTGCGGAGTTAGCGGTCAAGATGGCTTGGATCCGTTGCTACGGCTGCAGCACATTGATTTGAAGCTTCTTTGTTTGCCTCGACACCGGCTTTGCCAATTGCTTCCTCTGTCAGCTTGGCTCTTTATCGGTCTCAACTGTAACGCAATCAGCATCGCGTCACCACGACTCCATTTGATCAGAAAGAACAGCTCGCAAGACAATTCAGATAACAGACGCCACTAACAAACACCGCATCCAGCGGGTGTTGGCTACCCCCTCCAGATCGCCAGCATCGAGCAGACCGACCTCACCAACAATGGAGATGTACATGATTGTGTCCCTTGCAGCGTTCGGAGAACATTCTCGCCAGATCACCGGCCATTCCCCAAGCATTTGGCAACCCTAAAGCGTTTGTTGCGACGTGAAGTTAGACCTTTGATCATGTTTGTGGCCCAAGAGGCGRGGTCTCTRACGAAAGGTGACGTCCGAGTCGATGATTTCGTTGTTCAACTACTGRCAGACTCCGACTCTTGTACAACAACATGCCCACGTCAGGAACTACCGGAGCCCTCAACGGGAGAGATCTATGTGCGTCGAGGAAGACAAGAAGGGCGATGGAACGCTGTGGGGGT